AAATTTTTTTATTGCCCTTATAGGCAGACGACCATACGACCCACCTGATGATGAGTGGTTACCGTCACCCATGGACTTCAGCAATGCCAGGGGCAGAGCCAAGCCGCTGCCTACCGCTATAGCATAAAATCAGTAAGCAATTCAAGGCATGGCCACCACGACTACGGACCAGGCGGGTCTCGATCTAGTACATCCATGAGCTACATGTAGTATACTATTATAAATACATTTTTGTAGCCATCGTTTTGAAAGGATTTTTTTTATAAGAGATAAGCCCATAGCTTTGTTATTCGAGGCCTATAACTTTAGGCTACTTTTACCATGAGTACCAATGATAGATGAAGATAGTACTAACTATTTCTCAAAGGCAAATCGTTGGGAATCTATTAGAATGGAATCTTTGCCACTAATAGCTATCTACTACTACTAGCTATCTACACAAATACCAGGAAAATAAATCGCATATTCAAGTGCCACGGTGAGTTGTCGTAGAAACGATTCTCCCGTTTCAGCAAAAAGATAGCAATTTCTCAAATGATGACCGAACATCGCTGACATCAGATCGCAACGTCTCACGTATGGAGTTTGCGCCAATAACACAGGAAGCTGAATATTATTTTCTAAATTTAATTATACCGAAAATTCGTACAAATATTTTAAATATCCTTAAATTTAAAAAGAATTAGATTATGATACTGTTGTTAAAACAATATATTAACATATGATATAATGAATTATGGAAGTACCATACATGCCCTTTGAGTTAACATCGAGTATTACTTCTCAGGACTTTGGGTCTTTGAAACTTGTGGTATAATTAAGACATCTTTAATTTTAATAGGTATAAAATCCAGTTAAGGGAAATTTAATTTCAAGTTTTACATCATGCTGACAAAATAGTTTTTTTTTTCTATAATGGCCTAACAATGTACCCTCTAGCTTAATATCATTACTTTCGATTTCAATTTGAAAAGGCACCAAAATTGTTTTATTTCTGGTGTCTGATTTCTGGCGACTATAGCTTCAAATTTGTGTTATCCTGAACAAATCAAAACAGCTACTTAACATTATGATACCTCTAGGTATTTCGTAGCATCATATTTTATTTATAAGTCATCATAACATACCTTCCACTAACTCAATTTAAAAGAAAATTATATTTATGGCTGATAGATAAGGCTTATTATAGTGTGCAAGAATTTTTAAATGATAAGTGTTGTACATAATAAAATATTAGAATAAGAAGTGATAGAATGTAAAAATAGATAGATTTAGTAAATTTTGTGTTATAATTAATATAAAAATAAATTAAATTTTCGCATGCCTAAACAGGCGAAATATATGAAGCTATGTCCTATATCTTGTAAACTATATTTCTGGCGAATAAAGATTTTCTTTCTTTCTTTCTTTCTTTCTTAACAGAATACATCACATGCCAATAAAACGAAAAGAACAAACCCAATAAGGAAGATAAGTGAACTCGAGCAACATGAATAATTCACAAAGTCCGGACGCAAAATATTATATGGACGAATAGTATGCAACAAGTTTAAAGTAAGAATTAAAACTTTACCTGTCGACCGCGCTCGGCAACCCAAAGTTGTTGGACGTACATCCACAACTTTTTCAGTTGATAACCTGGTCGATAACAATATGAAGAAAAAAAGTTGAATCCATACTTTGTTGAAGTACCTACGTGCGGCTGATAAAGTTCCATTTAGACTTCTATGAATTTAAATAGTAATAACCTTTTAGTGGCTTTGTGTTTTGTAATGACAAATCGATTAGCGTCGATACATTAACTAAAGTTCCACCCGGTGTCCAAAGACCTCACAATCCGAAAGCGTTCAGACATTTTGAGACACGAAGCTAAAGACTGAATTAATTTAAAATACGGATTAAACGCTTAATTACAGACAGGCAGACCAGATATGAAATAGAGTGATACTTAGTGTCACAGTGTATTATCTTCTCTATATTATAAAAATGAATTGCTGTTCTTTAGTCTCGCTAAAACGCGAGAACGGCTGGATCGATTTGGCAAATTTTGGTCTTGAATTATTAGTGGAAGTCCAGAGAAGGTTTAAAAAGTATATAAATATGAAAATGCTAGGAATGAAATAAAAATGACAATTTTGTTTTTCCTTTGATGTGTCCCCCATCGGTCTTTTATTTATCGATTGAGACACTACGAAGTCTGCTGGGTCAGCTAGCTAAGGATAAAGACATGGTTAACATTACCATAATTTGGTAAAAAAAAATGGAATGATTTCCTTGAAACAGTAAAACACACTGTAGTGTATATCGGTAGAAAAAGAAAAAAGAAAATAGATCGCTTACTTGAAAGTCCTTGATTTTTCAAAACGTCTACAAGTTCATCGGTCGCCGTTTCGTAACAGTTCAAAGCATATTTACTAGAATACGCCACCTGTATTGAGTTCATAACTACTACGGCAGCCAACATTTTACCACCAATCAGCAAGATGCCCAGTATGAACATTGAATACACGTCATCTACTATCAGTTCGTCACCACCTGTCGTGGTCAATGAAGATACAACCATATACAACGATGTTATGTAATCCCAGCGACCTTTTGTCAAATCCCTAGAAGAATACAAAAGAATGTTTTTATTTTTTATTAAACATTGCGTGCTTTTAAATTCAAAACAGGTCTGGCCATGCTTCATCGATACCTAAAACATTTTATAGATGAAATGGCTCAGTAGACCGGCCATTCAGAGGTAATTATTCGGAATTTGTATACATATCGACGCTTGAAAGGCAAACGTGACTAAGCGACAATGCGTGAACTTTACAGTAGACTAATTTAAAGTTGAAATACCTGAAAACAAATTTTATTTTAACGTACCTAGCTATAGTAGACTCTAGCTAGTAGCTGTAGGATTGAAATGATTTTAATAGACCTAGAAATATATTTTTTTTGCGCGTCAAATATTATGGTTATTGCCTATCATTTATGTACAAAGCAGTTATTGTCGCTTAGTCACGTTTGCCTTTCAAGCGTCGATATGTATATGCAAACTTATGTCGAAGATGTCGTTAATGCGATTCCGAAATCTGTCAGATATCTTCTAATCTACCAATTCATAAAAAATGTTGTTTAGTTAACTAAAACTTAATTTAACAACATTGAATGGGGTTTCCTGTCCTGAATTTTTATTTCTACCTAACTTTAAATTGTACCGAAAATTCAAGACGTATAACCGAAAATTGTTTTAGATTGATATTGGATTATTATTTTAGAAATATTCTGTTTTTAAAACAAAATTCAAATTTAGAATCTCAAATTTAGTTAGAAACAGATAACTTCTTCTTCGGTTATAATGAGCGAAAAAATGTTACACACACAAACCTTCCTCTTGAACTGAAATAATTCACAGGAACGTATTACATACACAGACAAACAAAAGTGAATTATGACTTTGTTTGGTAGAGTGGAAAAGGCAACCGCACAATCGTCAAATAAATTATCTTGATAATTAATATAATGAATTAGCTGTTTATAAGGTATATATATATATATATCCTCTTTGTTGACAGTCTTGAGGGCGTAGTAGCTAGCGCTCCGGACTGCTGGACTGTGAGTCGTGGGTTCGATTCCCATATAGGGGAAACATTTTTTTGACAAACAAGGTCGTTTTCTCTTTGTTTGGGTGTTTAATATCTATATATGTTTAAGTATGTATCTCAAACTCTGACTCTCATATGGAATCTTAATTTGGAACAGGTGATCGTATATAATTTATCCTCGATTATTTCATTATTTATTTGTAACTAGCTGACCCGGCAGACTTCATAGTGCCTCAATCGATAAATTAAATAGCTAAATTTTGTATAAAATAAACTTAAACAAACAAACAAAAGCAATCCGTCCGACGGGGGACACATCAAAGGAAAAACAACATTGTTATTTTTATTTAATTCCAAGCATTTTCATTCATTTATCTACATTTTAAGCCTTCTCTGGACTTTCACAAATAATTCAAGACCAAAATTAGCCAAATCGGTCCAGCCGTTCTCGAGTTTTAGCGAGAATAACGAACAGCAATTCATTTTTATATATTATATATAGGTAGATTCTCGCATTGCTTTCTTATTCCGTAAGTACACTATTTGTTTAAAATATTCCTAATTGATTGCCATAACCGTAATTCATTCGAAACTTCTGCCTCATATCCAAAGGTAGAAATGGTGAATTTTCATTATCGCAGCAAAAGTATTATTGTTTTTTACACACTTATGTCTTAACACCGGGAACATAAAATAGTAATTTGCTCCCGTTTTTCGCCTTCACCAAAGTACGCTTTATACCAATAGGTTTTCTATGGTTGATTAAACGAAATTTTTAAAGGTAAATTAAAATTTCGAGATTATTTTTAGCTTTTTTTTCTTTTTTAAATTATCAATATTAACTTTTTAAATATAATACAACTCTACAAAAAAAAATTCGTTCTTTGTCCTAACGATTATACTAGATTTTTCCAGTTAATTATTCACAAAAACGAAAATAAAATACCTTTTTTTGGTATAAAGTTTGCTTTTGTGATAGTTATAGTAATAATACTCATTTTTCAATTTTTTTTTATAAATTTTAACTAATTTTAATACTTTCAAAAAAACCGCGCTATGAGAGTGGGGTGTTTACGTTTACACAGTGCCCCTAGATGGCACTCGAGTCATAAACAACGATCAGGTGTTTTGTACAAGCCCAGAAAAACTTAAAGTGTCAAGAAAGTGTAAATACGATGCTGATGCATTTTGTTTCATATGTGGTCAGTTTATTTAAGTTCAAAAGCAAACTGTTTCATGCCATGTATTTTTCATACGTCTAATTACGATCTAAAATATCGAAATTTTATGCTTTGCAAAGTCAAATTTGGTGTTGACCCGTGTAATTAGTATTGAGTCCGAAAGTTAAAAGTATTATATAATATTATATACATAGGTCTCTGTATTCTTATTCAACTTCTACAATACTCACTCGTCCATCAAATGTGATTTCACCGTCCTTATAGTGTAGATAGAAGAAAATAAAATCAACGTGATGAGCCAAATACACGTGAACGTATGAATTAAGAGAAACACAGCGATCATCGTCATAGTCGACTGTAATAAATGCCATATTTATTTTTAGTCGCAATCACGTGAATAATGACAGAAATAGAATAAAAATAAAAAAGATTTTCCTGGAATAGAAATGCTTTAGAATTTTTCGTATACACAAAGAAAAAGTAATTTATCGAAATCAATTTAGAAACCCAATATTTCATGTCAATCCGTGGTATTTACGCTGTTATAATATTATTACGGTGTCTAAATCGGTTAAAGGACGAACAAACTAAATTTTAAAGTTCTTGCTTTGATAGTGACATGAGAATGCAAAGCAGGCTGATTATGCATTGGCCAATTGCATATTGCAGCTCATATACATTGCAAAAACCAGGGTTGTCAAATTGTAAACACTAATCTTGACTACGTTAAAACAATTAGGGTACCTATTAGGTATCTTATAATTATTAATAAGCTAACGGTAGGCAGCGGCTTGGCTTTGTCACTGGCATTGCTGACGTCCATGAGCGACGGTAACAACTCACCATCAGGTGTGCTGGTAGGCAGAAGCCTACACGGGCAATAAAATACTGTTACACCGGTAAGAGTAACTCCATCTATCGTCGAATAGCCGAACGAATATCGAAAGATCTAGTAACATCTAGAACGCTCGAGAAGTACAACGCCATCTATTGTCACAAAGTGGAAACACATTGAAGGTTCTCGACTTGTGAGGAATGTTCTCGACGATTCTAGGGATGTCGTATCGACTATAAAAACGTCGCAGAGATGGCACGCAATCAGTTAGTAATCGGAACTACTCGAAGCGAAACTGAACAGATCACCTGAAGCGAAGCGAAAGAAGCGATTTGAGAGTTTTAAAGTGTTTGTTGTGTTTTAAGTGTTCTAAGTGATAAATACAGTTTTAGGTTGTACTTTGGTGTAACATTTACTTAACCCGAGCCCCAGTGCATACCAATACTAAAAACAATGCACATTATTTTACCTGTAAAGTTGTGAGATTGTTAGTGAGCTCAGCAGCAGTGCGCTTGTAAAATTCAATTAGATATTTTAATCGCAACAATCTATTAATACGTAAATAATGCAGCGCCTTCATTGGGTAACTGGAAACGAGATGAAGCCTTTTAATTTGTGATTTTTTTATTGTTGAAACTGGAATTCAGAATGATAGGGATATTGCGAAAACCGTGATAAAAATTGATATTAAATTTGGAATTTACGGTAAAATAAAAATTCATTTCACAAAAAAGTATCAATCGTAAAATTGAATTTTTTGTCATGTTCCATGAACGTTTTATGCGTATTTCACAATATTTTTATTTTTATTTATATCAATTTTCATATTTGTTATTTGAGATTATTTATTATAGACAAACGAGTTAAGGGAGAATCTGGTACGTGGTTTATAAAAATCGGCAATACGCAATAATCTCAAAACCTCGTTTGAAGGAATATAATATATCACAATGCTTGGACGACAGAACTCCCCATCACGGAGTTCTATCTGAAGCTAGATGGTACGAGGCAATAATTAGATTATTACTAAAGCCGCCAGAATTATCTTATCTTACTATCTCTTATAGTAAAAATTTTTGGTGTTATCACTTTTAGATTCAAAGCGCAGAGTAGACATCATTTCAATACAGGGACAGCGGAACAATACAGTAGGCAGCGGCTTGGCTATGCCCCTGGCATTGCTGGTGTCCATGATTGACTGTGACCACTTACCATCAAGTGGAATGTATCCTTGTCTGCAAAGGCATTAAAAAGCTTTGACCTCACGTCTCAAAGCTTTCGACGGCCTCGAAGCTGGTGTCTCTGAGCTTTGATAACTTTAGATACATCACAAGCACAAGCAAGATGTGTTCACACTCAAAAGGGTGAATTCTATAATGTATTATTTTATGTAAATAAATTAAATGTTTATGTGTGCATGATTTTGTCCAGTTGTGTGAAGCTAATAAACAAAAAAAACAGAAAATTACGGTCATAAAGTAACTCAACCAGCTTACGGGAAACAAAAGCAGAATAACTCCAAAGGAAAATTAACGAGTGCGTCCGTGAAAACCCGCAGCTTGTGACTGTAATAGCGTCTTCGACATTTCAGGGAATCGATTATTAATTCGCCGTGTTTGTTGATGTATCCCTATATTTAAAAAAAAAACGAAGAATAATATTTGAAATTCGTATTTCCATTTACGAACAACAACGAACAACAACAACAACTTTACTGGTGGTAGGACATCTTGTGAGTCCGCGCGGGTGGGTACCACCACCCTGCCTATTTCTGCCGTGAAGCAGTAATGTGTTTCGGTTTGAAGGGTGGGGCAGCCGTTGTAACTATACTTGAGACCTTAGAACTTATATCTCAAGGTGGGTGGCGCATTTACGTTGTGGATGTCTATGGGCTCCCGTAACCACTTAACACCAGGTGGGCTGTGAGCTCGTCCACCCACCTAAGCAATAAAAAGTAAAAAATAAAAACAACGAAATATAGCTTAGATCGATGGACATTACTGGTAAGAGCATTATGATTCTATTTCAAGAGATAGAGTAGTATATTTGGAGAATAACATAACTCTCCTACTAGTACCATCAATTTCTAAGAATACTCGTAATCACTCGTACCAACACTGGTTGCGGAGTTATGAGATTAAACTTTCAACTTTCATTTTAACTAGATTCGACTGCAGAATGGAGCACTGCGTCACATAAAACACGTAGCTAATTTAAAATACTCATTAATTACAATAAAGACATTTCAAAATTTGCTAAGTCGTAATTATAAACAGCCAAAACATAATTTATCGCCTGTAAAATCTTTTATTTTCTGCTATTATATATTCGAAATTAATGGACTTATTGAATGATAGTTAATTTTATGTAAAAGCGAAAACGAAATAAATACTTAACTAAATACTATATCTACACATCTCATCAACATCTTTTTATGTAATAAAATATCGTAACTTAATTTATACTAAAAGTTTAATTTAATAATAATTAATGTGTCGTACCTATAACGAACTGGCAAGGTCGTCACCTGAGTTAGATATTTTTACTTGTAGGTTGGTTACGTTTAGAAAAATGTTCAAGGGCATCCTCCACGTTATTAATAGGTAGGTTAATGTAATTGTTCAATGTATTATATTGTGAATATTTTTTTTTTCCTTACATTATTCGTTAGATTAGTTTTTGTTATTGTGTTGTTTTGTCATAATTGTAAGGAACGTTGTTATACAAATTCAGCACTATATGTCTTGTTTTGTCGTGCGCACATAACCTATGTTGCAAGCCAGATTTTGTTTCTTTTTATTTGTGTTTTCTATGTAACTTTAGCTTGTGATGTGTATTGTGAGCCTAATAAAATAAATAAATAAATAAATAAATTTAGTTAATTACATATTCTCGGACAGTGATGCCTTCAAGGGCCTTTGAACAAAAAGATTTCTTGATACTCAAATTGAAAGTAAAAAATTCATTAAATAATCTACTTGTTTAGGTGAATACTTACTTGATGCATCGACACAAACATTCTGATGTAGAAGAAAACGTCCAAGAACGCTTGTATCCAGAATATGTGCGGACAATCATTAAACGTCACCACTTCATATAAACCCAGCAAATAAGTAGCTGCTGCCATAAAACAGGTCAAATAACCGTAAGTCTGTAATAATTAAAACAAATTCTTAGACTACACAAGTTTGTTATATTTCGAATTACTTGTACTAATAAATGTTAGAGTAAAGAGTCATGCGGTTCGGTTTGAAAAGTGGGACAATCGTCCTACAATAGAATTGAAACTTTGACCACAAGACTGAAGTTGGATGCGGAATTCACTATCTGATGTCACCCGACTTAAGAAAAAAAACCGCAAAAAATAGATACTGTAGAAGCTATAGGTAGAATTGTATCAACTAAAATGAATGTTTTTATTCTTTTGGAACGAAGTTCCTTATGGGACGATGCGGAGGGGTATCCTAACCGGGAAAAAACGTCCGTAACGTAAGATTTTTATTAGTGATTCACACAGTGTAAGACTTAACTTTGTAATAGCGTACAAAAAATAACACTAATTATTCTTATGCAAACAACCGTGAATGAAGTGTACCACAATAAGTTCACACTTTACCGAATGACCGTAGGTTGTTGCGAAACCTCCAGTTTTATTTTCTTTATACCTCGAATAGAACTTAAATTAATATTATAAAAATATCCATCCCACGAAATGTCCCACGACACCACACATCTTTCTTTTTGATTTATTGACGAAAATAGCAAATTGCACCGTCCTACTGATATTAAATAAGTACAGGTAGTAACTGTAGACATTATCACGGTTGCAACCAAACCAAATAATTACCGTACATTCACAGATCTCTTTCCTCATAAATTAAGGGCGGAATGTGATAGTGTTATGGTAATATCACTTGAAGAGCTCATTCTAAGTTACATAGGAGGGAAAATTAATCGTTTTTCGTAAACATTCATTATGAATATCCACACACCAGAAATAATAAAGTTCCCGGTCGAAACACATTGGAGATGTGAGCGTAACTCAAGTATGTCGCTATACTTGCCGACGATAGCGCCTGGCTAACGTTTGATTGCGAATTGCGCACTGTTAAATAGCCTGTAAGTTTAATAATTGACATAAATGATGATAATATTGAACAAAATGTTTGATATAAAGATCAGTATGGTTTACAATACGCCTTAATACGAAGAACTTAGACTAATTACATTTTTTGAGGGCTTTAATTTTATTACACGATATTATTTCTTCACCTAGGAAGTCATTCGTGATAATGTGTTAACACATTGTGTGTGTGTGTGTTTGAATTTTCTTAGCTTCATTATTCAGATTCTAAATATGGCGCTCCGTTTAAAATTGACTATGGATTATTTTTATTTGTCAGTCATTTGAAAACAAAAATCAATAATGAATATACATGTATGTAATCTCATCTCCTTCTAAGCCCCATTTGAATTGATGAAAGCATTGTGTAGATTACCCGCTATATCTACATCTGCTACATTATACGTTATATTATGTAGTTTTGAAAGTGGTAATTTATTTAAGTATCACTATAAAATTTTCTAATACTCGTACATCTACTAATTCCTCTATTACTAGTCCAGTGCCAGAATTGATGACAAGACGGAAGCGAAATGATCAGTAAATTTCCACGGCGTTTTTTTTTTTAAATTGGGGCCAGTAAGCGTCAAAAACAACTACAAATCTTAAATCAAAGATTCCAGTCATGAATATTGTTAATTTTATTGTGGAATTTAATCGATTGTCAGTCACTGGACATAATGAGTAATTTAACTTGGGTTAAGCAAGTTTTAACACGCTTGGCTTGACATTATACTCGTATATCTTTTTTTTTTTTTTTTCGGGCCGGGGGCCGAACCTCCTACGAGGTCCCCGCGCCTAGGGGGCGCGCGGGGTATGTGAGACTCAACGATCTGCAGGTGTTGAGAGCAGATCGCGAGCCCAAGGATTTTAGGGCCCACCCACTAAACGACTCCCCTGCACTCTTACACCCGACGTCCGATCTCCGTCCGGGGTCAGAACCCGGTTAGAGTAGGGGGTTTCCCGCGGTCAACACTACAACCAGACATGCGGCGCCACCCCGAGGACGCCCGACCGACGGGTCGTCGAGGCGATAGTCGACGACCGATGACGTCGGTCTCCGCGGTACGGCGGCCCTGCCAGGCCGCCCAGGCGATGCCGCTGGTGTTCCGGGATACCCCGCTGGGCCAGAACCAGCCTGCCGGGTCGGAACGCGATACACCGCCGACCGGGTTGCTCTTCCACAGTACGTTCGGCGACGACAGCGACGACGAAAAACCGACGCGTCGTCCCGTCCTCCTGGTGCCAGCGCGCTAGAGTGACGGTAGCGTGCGGCGCAGCCTCAACCCCCTTAGGTCGCCCCGTGACCATCACCGGAGGAGACTCCTCAAATATACTCGTATATCTATGTTATGTAACAGAATATTTCGATGTCATTTTCATACATACATTCAATTGTCAATGTAATACATTTTTAAATTTCATACACCTTATTTATCATAAATATTATTTTTGTAGTCTCAATATGCCATTACGTAAACTATATGATAGGCTCCGCTGCCATCCTGGCCATGAAATAAGTACTACTCCTCAATCGAAGAAAGATACTCAGTAAAGTTCACAAAGTACCGTATATTGAATTAATTAGTAATGTAAAGTTTTTGGCATTATCATACCAAATATCATACCAATACCAATCATCAAATCAGAAAAGGAGCGTTAAAATATTATATATATAAAAATATAAATAATATACATATATTGTTCACTAATCCAAAGACGAGGAATAAAATCTCAAAGCGTTATCGTGGTATTTTTTGTATAAATATACATTTATATGGATACCCAAACCCAATATTTTATTTGGATACCCCAACTTCTTACCTACGTCGTACCGAATCGATTCACTTTTTGAATCAACAACTGATTCCTGTGACTGCAAACCATGATCAGTGTCATCTGAAAGAAAAGAAAAAAAAAGACTTGTTATGTCTAATTTTTTGTTAATAAAACCTTTTGTAGTGCTTGTTTGTAATTTGATTCCTACTAAGTTACAATATTAAGAAGGCATTGTTAAAATATTCCGATTTTTACTACTTTTGAATTTAGCGTCAGTAATTTATTTGGGAAGGTATTTAGTGTATTTAATGGATTTAATACGGCCAGTGATATGGAGTTAAAGATACCTTCTTCTATTTTTTAGGCTATCATATATTTCATTTTAAATTTAACATTTTTTTTTATTGCTTAGATGTGTGGACGAGCTCACAGCCCACCTGGTGTTAAGTGGTTACTGGAGCCCATAGACATCTACAACGTAAATGCGCCACCCACCTTGAGATATAAGTTCTAAGGTCTCAAGTATAGTTACAACGGCTGCCCCACCCTTCAAACCGAAACGCATTACTGCTTCACGGCAGAAATAGGCAGGGTGGTGGTACCCATCCGCTTAACTGCATATATCAACCAAATTACTAGTCTACTATAGCACTATGCGATGTTTAAGACGAACCCAGCGATGTTAGGTGGCTTTTCATTGCATAGGTTGTAAATTCAAGATTGAGCAAAAAACTGTTGACGAATATACTCTGAGTGTTTTGTCCTAGAAATATTAACTGTGCAACAAATATTCTCTAATATTCTCTAATTGACATCCTTGTGATAATATATTGTAGGACTCCGCTTCCAAAAGTCAGGAAATAATACGCAGACTGCAGCAGTTCACTTAATTCTGTATAGCTTTATTTGTAACTCCACATATACAATCTTTAGGTATCTGCTCACTACTGAATACACTGCTTTCTGTCTCGTTTTTTCAGACTACCGCCTTTTTTTATTATGTCACGTCCCCACTACTGTAATTGCTCCCACCAACAGTGTTGCTATTTGGCAATCCGAAAATTGCCTTAACATTAACAAATTTAATTATTTTACAACAAACCTTACAATATTGATATTGCTATTAGTATGCACAAATATTGCGTTTATAGTGCAATTTTTTGTACTGGCTGTGATAAAAACAAGTAAGAAAATCGACACACAATTTAGAAGATTGAACTAAGCATTCTAAGCACCTGAAGAGCTATCATCCTGGGTGTCCATAGTAATAGGAAGAATATAATCTCGGGACCTCTCAAATGCCTTGTTCAAAGGTTGTTGTATTTTCGGGTAGTATTTCACTAAATTGAAGAACGTGTGACTTGGTATCACCAACAAGTCTAAACTGCGACTAGCATATATTGTTACCTCGGAACATGCCATTGGTTTCTAAAAATGCGTCAAAAATGTTATTTTATTTAGTAATTTATCTAGAATGAACTAGTATGTATTATTATTATCTAGGATATAAATAGCTCCAATTTAGATATAATGTTAAGTAAAATTTCTGATTGCGTGTAGACTGTGTATTTCTATAAGTACTTTTTTGGTATAATAATCCCAGCGCAATAAAAGTAACTATCTTGTGGAGCAACAAATAAATAGTTTTTTTTTGCATAGATTGGTGGACGAGCTCACACAGCCCACCTACTTTTAAGTGGTTACCGGAACCCATATACATCTACAACGTAAATATCGCCACCCACCTTGAGAAATGAGTTCTAAGGTCTCAGTTTTGACAGAACAACGGCTGCCCTACCCTTGAAACCGAAACGCATGACTGCTTCACGACAGAAATAGGCGGGTACCTACCCGTGAGGACTCACAAGAGGTTATACGAAATAGGCAGGGCGGTGGTACCTACCCGTGCGGACTCACAAGAGGTCCTACCATCAGTAATTACGCATATTACAATTTTATGGCTTTGATGTTTATTACACGACGTTATTCCTTCACTATGGAAGTCAACCGTGAACATATTTTGTTAAGTAAGTACGTAGTTACTGCATGTACCTTTTTAATTACTTAAAAATAACTGGGATTGTAATATTAGGCCAGTAAATAGTTTGACTCGGGTTTTATTATTATGAATGGGAAATGAATGGGAATGAGGCGTTCGCTCCTGGCCTTTTCATTTTCATTTTCATTTCCATTTTTCATTATTTATTATTTTTTAATTGTATTTTTTGACTTGTTTTTTTCGTTTATTGTAAATATTTTTACTTATTAAAAAAAAAGAAAATATTTGAGAAAAAACAAAGAAAATCCCGCTGAGTTTGCTTGGCCGGTTCTTCTCAGGACTGTGGCTCTTTTTGGAACCGGTGGTAGAGTTAACATTTTTATTTATACTAGTGGTCTCGCAGTAGTCGAAATTCGACTATAATTAATTGAAATTGTAAATTTGTACCCTATTATGATTGTATTTTATACTTCTATAATCACAAATTTCGCTAAGGCTATAACACTATAAAAATATTAATAAAGACAAACAATATTTAATCTATTCTCAATTTGACCACAGACGTGAAGAACAAAAGTTTGACAATAAATAGTATGCATGCGTGTGTGCGTCAAATACATGGTATGTAGTGTGTGTAATGTTTTCTTTATTGATTTAATGTATCTTTTGCGCATTATTTAAAAAAAATATTAGTATTGTGCACTTCTTCTCTATATTCACTATAAGTTTGGAAAATTTCATACTCCTCCGTCCGCGCAATTTTCGTAAAAAGGGATACAAAGTTTTTGCTTCACGTATTAATATATAGATTTTGACATTCAACAAGTGTGTTATGCTGACATCCAAGTTGAAATAAATGATTTTGAATTTGAATTTGAATTAAAAATTTGAACGTAACTTACTCCCGTAAAATTACCGAACATACCGCCTGGTCCCATACACGTTATCATTTCATTATATGACGTTAGTACATCAACCTACAACGAAATTCTTGATATATATTAAGTTTCCATAATTTTATGCATTTTAAAAATCATTAAGTAACTATAGTTTTAATGAACGATTATCATTTGAAAATAAATAAAAGTTAAAAAAAAACTAACAAAATACGCTTTTATAGAAAATCCAACTAAAAAATAGAAAATAAATTTTAATAGATTTTCTATATAAGCGTATTTTGTTTTCTTTAAACTATTAGGTAATTATTTTTCATTTTTTAATTGAATTTTCAGTTTTTTCAATTATTGTTTTTTATTTTTATATATTGATTTGTCTTTCGTCCTTAATAAGTATACCAAATTTCGAGTTAATCTGACGTTTTGAAGAGGGTCAATATCATGTTCAAAGATTCCGCTACAAACATACATACATACGTCTGAAGCTAATAAAAGCGTATTTATAATCTTTAATCTCTCTTTCATTTGTTTACGTAAATTATGAACTTTGCTAATGATAATTTATTCAATCGATTTTAGGATGATTTATTGACGAATTAAACATGGTCACTAAAGTTGACAATACAATTTTGCAGTCTTACCTTCCCCCTGTAAATGATAAAGATATAAGACTGTATATCCTTGCATTGGATCACCGTATCGCCTTTCAGAAAATACATTTCATGAACGTGTTGGGTGATAAGCCTGATGAAAGATCTTTCCACTTTCCCGAACAGTGGAACTTCTCGTAGAGCGCCTTCATACATAAAAACTAGGGTGTCTTCCATCAGGGATGAGTTCAGACGACGACAGATTTGCTGTAATCATTCACATATCAAAACTGTTTTTAAAATTTACTGTCACTTTCGTTTCTCTTAAGCAAAATCGTAATTAAGAGATTGAAAATAAAAAAAAAAACAAAGCAAAAGAAACTGATTAACAGATTTGAATATCCAAATAAAACCGCGTAAACCATTAAAATATAAATTCGATTGTAATTAATAATAAACATAACAAAAAATATTAATACTGAATACCGTAATTATCCTAATATGCTATCTACAGAGTCCATTGCACGGATTTTAGACATTTGAAAAACTAAAAAAATCATACTGAATCTTCAAGAAAATTGTAACAATCAAAAAGATATACCGTATGTATTTGAAGAAGATATGTTAGAAGTTTAACTCTCGCTGAATTCAATTTCGAGGAATATGATTGAATATGATCGTCACGTCATTATCACTTTCGTTTCTAACTAGCGTACACCTGAGGCCGCATATAGAAATTGATCGAAAAACATAAGACGGTCGTTTGTTGCGACCACATAAATTGATAACTCGTGTCTAGAATAGTAAGTTATCTGTGACATTTATCCAAACAAAAATGATTACAGACAATAGGGCGATGTTAAATGTCTAAAAAAACCCATGGCCGCGGGCCCAAGATGTTTGGGTCGGCGAGTATGAAGGGAAAAAAAGAAGACCTGGAGAAGAGGGTCATCCCTCCCTCGCTTATTGGGGATGGACCCACCACTACAAATCATACCGATCATCGTCATCCAACTATAAATCGAACCAATCATCACCGTCTTTTCGACTCATCACCTCATCACGTCACGAACCATCGCCTCAACCACCACACTTCATCGCCTTATAAAAATGGCCAGCAAGCACAATCATCACCCCTTAGGCAGGTAGTCCAAGCCCAGGTAGAGGGGATTCCCCCGAGGCCCGATCCGAACGATTTAATGTCTATAGAAAGTATCACAATCAGTGGGGAATACATCATAAAGAACCATCGAGTTTTTTATTTATTTTTAGTTAAATTTAGAATGGATTCATTTGGAATTCATTCGTCACGTTCAGCTACTATTGTTTGTATTTTAATAAATTTAAGCCTATAACTGTAATATTATATATAAAAAGAACTAACTTGCGGGTTACTTCCATTAGTCCTTTTCCACACATATTCGAAATACTTCAATGTTTTCACCATCAATGTGGAATCAACGTTCGCTTGGTACAGGAAGTCGGCCAAATCCCTGATTTTTTCCTTAAAATACACCCGAGAATAGAAATTATTAAAACTAATATAATCGCTGTAGTGTTCTGAAGTCGTTATATTTTTAATGGACAAAGTTGGAGAATTACGCGTACCACATTATGGCGGTAAACATTAACTAGTTTTACAGTAGTTGGCGATACTGTCACGTAATTATAAAAACGTTTCCTAAAGATAGCAGTAAATAGAAAAGCCTCAGATTAACTTATAAAGTAAAAAGGATTCCTTGATCTTTGTATCTAAGTTAAGCTTCGCACAAACCTGAAGATTTTTTTTTTAATTTTACTCCCAGTACAAATATTCTCAGTAATAATTAACTAAAATTTCAAAGAAATCACAATGAATTAATTAACGTTAGCTATATAAACCTTAGAAAATGTAATGGAAATAAATGAAATTCTTCAAAACGAACTTTTCCTTATAAAGTTATACTCCTCTTGAAATCAAAACGCCGATAAATCCTAATTTAAATAATACAGTTGCTAAGTAAATCATAAATGCTTATCTTTCTTAATGACTTCATACTCATGAGACCGCAATATCGCGGACACAACTTTGAGGTCACTAATCCTACTGGCTCAACTTAGACTCTACGCACCAACTGATTTTTAAATGGATTAGGTATTGCGTTTTTTTCAGTAAGCAGCCGTAAAATATATGAAAGTTTTCAACGCAATTAATTGGTTATCGTCTTCGTAATCTCCATAACTAAGAAATGGTACTTATTTATTCTGTATAGTTGCACATTAAGCTCTGTCATAAAATAGATGTTATGACTAATATCTAATGTGTAGCACGTTTGCATTGTCTATGCGTACCAATACTCTGTTTTCATTACTTGTTTTTATTGCTAGGAGAAGCTGATCGGTTTAATATCCGGCTCCGTATAAATAAGATTATCGCCGTATATTTTTTTTTTCCTTGAAAGCTCCGTGTATACGTTTGCGTTCGATATTAAAACGGCTTTGTTGGTTTTTAATCACTTTTGTTCTATATGAGAAGTATTGATTCTTTTTCCAAATATACTATTTTATCTTTCGTGTTTAATATTCCGATCATTTTTTAATTTTTTATTTCTTAGATGGGTGGACGAGCTCACAGCCCTGGTGTTAAATGGTTACTGGAGGCAATAGACATCTACGACGTAAATGTGCCACCCACCTTGAGATATAAGTTGTAAGGTCTCAAGTATAGTTACAACGGCTGCCCCACTCTTCAAACCGAAACGCATTACTGCTTCACGGCAGAAATAGGCAGGGTGGTGGTACCTACCCGCGCGGACCCACAAGAGATCCTTCCTACCACCAGTAATTACGCAAATTACAATTTTGCGGGTTTGATTTTTATTACACGATGTTATTCCTTGACCGTGGAAGTCAATCGTGAACATTTGTTGAGTACGTATTTCATTAGAAAAATTGGTACCCGCCTGCGGGATTCGAACACCCGGTGCATCGCTCAACACGAATGCACCGGACGTCTTATCCCTTAGACCACAACGACCCCAAAGATATTGCGAATCAAAAGATATTGCGATTGATACATTTTTGGAATTGACAGCTTCTGTTTCAGATCGTTGCTATTCAATTTTATATATGTATGTATATAAGTTACTTATACTATATATAAGTTACTATGTTTTTCTCATTTTCTTAGGTTCTACAAATGTATACTAACAGTATGTTCCAGTAAAGCATGGGCGGCCGCAGAACCAGTTGAAGATACGTAACCAAACATGAAAGCAAAGTACAGGAAACCAGCTATTTGTAGACCCATCATCAGCCATACGTTAACACTGTGCCCAATACTGACTGGGGTGCAGCCTAATCCTTTAAAACGAACAATGATAATATAAAACATTTTGAAATCAATACTTATTAAATTATTTTACCGTTATCTATTTATTAATACGTGAAGCAAAAACTTTGTACCCCTTTTTACGAAAATTGCCTGGACGGAGGAGCATAAAATTTCCCACACTTATAGAAAATATAGAGAAGCAGTGTACAATGCTAATATTTTTTTTAAATAATGCATAAATGATGCATTAAATCAATAAAGAAAGCATTCATTACACACACTACCGTGTATTTGACACACACACACGCGTGTATACTATTTGTTTATTGTCAAACTGTGGTCAAATTGAGAATAGATTAATTTGGGTTTGTCTTTATTAATATTTTTGTCTAAAGTGTAATCTTGGGGAAATCTGTGATTATAAAAGTTTAATAATAGTATTTGACAGTAGAATCATAATAGTGTACAAAGCTATAATTTCAATTAATTATAGTCGAATTTCGACTACCGGGGGATCACTAGTAATTATTATTGTGTATTTGAGATCATTGTCTTGCATAAAAGTTATTTTTTTATTGTTTAGATGATTAGACGAGCTCACAGCCCACCTGGTGTTAAGTGGTTACTGGAGCCCATAGACATCTACAACGTAAATGCCGCCACCCACCTTGAGATATAAGTTCTATGATCTCAGTATAGTTACAACGGCTGCCCCACCCTTCAAACCGAAACGCATTACTGCTTCACGGCAGAAATAGGCAGGGCGGTGGTACCTAACCGCGGACTCACAAAAGGTCCTACCACCAGTAAAAATAATAGTTTACCAGTAAATATAACAGTTTACGACAAGACGCATTCAAAAGTAATTAAATGGCGTTAAAGCTCCTGTGAAAAAAAGTAAAACTTGTAAACTTCACCGGTAAAAAAATCATTTTAGTCCGAAAGTTAAGTTTCACATAAAATTTTGTGCATGTTCCGAAAGTCGTTGAACAAAAGTCGTTGCTATTAATGCGCAGGCAGAAAATTTTACGAAAATAAAGAATTTTGTATGAATGTATAGTTAGTTACCGACAAAAATTTCGAAGACCCAATAAAACACGTTGCTGTATTCCGATAAAGCATCTGAAAAGTTAAATACTATCACTTTTGATTTTGAATTTTTGCAAATTTACTATTTCGTATCCTACACGTCACCATCTACGTAGCCGAGACGTGAGCACTTGCGGCATGGCTTCTTTTTCTTCTTATCAGCCCACAGACGTGCACTGCTGGACATAGGCCTCCCCCAAGCCTCGCCAGACCGGTCCTGCGCTGTCTGCATCCAGCGGATCCCCGCGAATCTCGATATATCGTCGGTCCATCTTGTGGGAAGTCTATCCACGCTTCGTCTTCCGGTACGCGGTCGCCACTCAAGAACTTTCTGGCTTCAACGGCATGGCTGGGCTGCTTAAAATCGGTCAACAGACAATAGAATGAGCTAATTTCGATGTTTCTCTAAAGAATCGTAAGCCAAGTTACCGATATAGCCCAAAACAGAAGCAAACTCAAGTGGCAATGGGCCTCTGGAGACAGACACAGAACCAATAACCGTTGGGTAGAAGAGTTCTGGGGAGGAGACCACGGGCCAGAAAACGAAGTAGACGCCCAGTAACAGTGGAGTAACGATATAGCGTGATAGATAGAGAGGAGAGGCCTCGAGTCGTCGCGTGGCGTGACTTGAGAGAAGCCTGTGTCTAATAGTGGACTAAAATAGACTGTTTAATGATGATGATGATGAAGTTATTTTGAAGAGTAGAGGAGTTGAAAATAAAAAAATATTAATTCGTGGCCAACTCAATGTCGATTACAAATTTTACATAACTCCAATGTAATACGAACAAAATTAAAGGTCTAAAAATAGTTGTGATTATTTATCTCTACGACCAGACAACATTTTTGCTAATTTGTCAAGTAGGTTAGTTTTATTTCTAAATTAAAATATAAACTAAACGTACATTTCGATTCTGTTTTCAAATTCACGATAGACATGACCTTGGTACAATTTACCATGATTTTATTTGTACCCGCAGGCAGGTAAGGCACACAGGAGTACTTAAAGATTAGGGCGGCTACAAAATTCACCAATGTCACCGCGATTGGCAAGAATTTCAAAAGAACAACAACAGGATTCACTTGCATTAGATCAGATTCCCAATACGAGAATGCGCTGGTTAATCTTGTTACCTAAAATTGTTATTTGAAAGTTTGAAAAAGGAATGGTTGTCTTTAGTCTTTATAAACATGTAGATAACACAAATTTTGACAAAACAATATCTTGACAAACAATTGGGCAAGATTAATCAATCCTCTGTTTCAATAATATATTTTTGAAGTAGTTTTTTGTATTGTATTACGTTTAAAAAATGTCAATAAATATTATAACTAACCAGCAATATCCTATTGATTCTATAAATATCCAAATCATTGGTGTCAGTAATGATTTTGACCTGTAAATTGGTTTTGGTATATTTAATATAAAATTAAATATAAATTTAAACAAACACATGTAAGACGCCATATTAGGTGTGTGGCGCATTTACATTGTAGATGTCTATGGGTTCCAGTAACCACTTAACACCGGGTGGGCTGTGAACTCGTCCACATACCTAGGCAATAAAAAAAAATACCCACATTAACTTTAATGTATAATAATTTCCTATAAATTTCCAATTATTACCTTAAGAGTTAGCGCACTAACAGGTTAGATATCCGGTGAGATCATATTAGGAGTGGGTAATATCGGTTTTGCCGCGTATCGAATCGTATCTATATATCGAGGATCAATATCGGATATTGAATCTATATATTTTCTGAATCTATATATTGATGGATGCTAGTAGATTTTCTCGATTCATGATATTTGAGATTTGAAACGATACGCTGAGATAATATCGTAGTAGATATAGATTTAAGTCAACGTTATACGGTTGGTTTTCTGATATCAATTTATAATATGATTTTAAAGTAATAAAAAGAACATGAAAATAAAAATATCAAAAAAACTTTCCTTCATGCTTTTATCAGGCTTAGGACTGGCTACATTATTTTCAGTTTTTAGTATTTTGTGTCTTAATTTAAAATTACAAAATATACCAAAAGAGTGTAGATTTCAAAAGTTTAATACAAACACAAGAAATAAACTCAATTATTTGGATTCAACTAAAAATAGAAAAATGTGTACTTTAAAAATCAAACACAAAAAACTTTTAAGTATTTATAAACACTTGTCCAAAAATTCTAGTTCAAGGTCAAAGCGCGTGAAATTAAATTCAACGATGCAAATAGGCTATACTGCATTCAAGTTAGGGTCGAAAATTGAAACTTCTTTCCTAAATTGTATCCTGCTGATACGCTAAGAATAATCTACAGACATATGGACTTAAATATAAGGTTTACAATTGTATGGATAATGCCTGTTTCTGTTTCATTCATCACATGATATCCCTATACTATCGTGCGCTCACTCACTCTGGCCGATTCGATACGAACCAAACGAATATTGCTGATATTCACGAATCGGTACGATATGCCGATGCGCATCACATCGAGTAATATCGTGTATCGGCTGATATCGTTATATAGATTTCGATTCACGAATCGGTACGATATGCCGATGCGCATCACATCGAGCAATATCGTGTATCGGCTGATATCGATATATAGATTTCGTGCGGGGCGATATCGGATTCAACGATATTGCTGCGATATATAGATATTGAATCTAGATACGATTTATATCGCCCACTCCTAGATCATATGGGTATGCTTTCGTTCAATCCCAGTGTAGAAGTCCCAAGTAGTTAAGTACATATTTTTTTCTATATGATTGAGACTCCGACGTCATATTTCAAGGGTGTTTAGTTTCGTTCACATTGTGATGTCTATAGGCTTCGATAACTACTTAACAACAGACGAGCCGTGAGCTTCTTCACCCTTCTTTGTAATAAACAAAAATATTGAGGGTGATTCTTTTAAAAAGTTTTGCAGTACTATCCATGATTATTTCTACTATGAAGAGCCAAACATTTTTTTTTGTATGTAGTCGCTTAACATCAGATCGACATTTTTTTTCCATTAAAACGCATTCTTAGAACTGATTCCCAGGAATGCAATCAAATCCACTACGTATCGTGATATGAACGCACTATGCCATTGTCTTGAAAAAATAATAATTTAAGATTATGACATACCTTGAATGTATGCTTTATTAAGGACTTACCAGATATTCAAATGGAAAAATGCTAAGTAAATCCCATAGAAATGCGCCCTTTAAGTATTTCCGAACTGTATATAAAGGATGGGTAACAAGTAAAGACCGTTCATTATAGTACGCGACGTATGCCATTATTATCACGTCTAGATATAACACTATATCTGTGTAGTAGAAGCATTGATGATGTTGGTAATGCTTCACCTGAAAGGTACCACTTCACTTGAATCCTTTCTTTTTACTTACATCTAAATACCTTTCTATCCATCACTCCTTTCAAAATGTTAGTTGCATTAATAATCACAATTGTGAATACTCCCTATTATAATATTTTACTTGTACCATAATCTAGCTAATCTAGTGTAGCTATTTTCGGTTATATTTTCAATTATTTCTTACATAAATAGTTGAAAATATGGTACGCTCGAGTACTCCACGACAGAAATAAGCAGTATAGTGGTACAACTCGTACATGCTCATACTATGTTATATCACCAAGCACTAGAAAGTACATGTCGCCCATCTGCAACTGGATGAATGCCTTTCGGCAATTCCAGATGCTAACCAGGCATGGATGCTTCTAGAGCTAATCGTCCCGAATTGGGACCAAGAATACAAAAATGTGGATGCGACGAGGAATCGGCACAATCGAAGTCCTAAGTTTTTTTTTTTTTTTTGCTTGGGTAGGTGGGCGAGCTCACAGCCCACCTGGTGTTAAGTGGTTACTGGAGCCCATAGACATCTAACAACGTAAATGCGCCACCCACCTTGAGATATCAGTTTTAAGGTCTCAAGTATAGTTACAACGGCTGCCCCACCCTTCAAACCGAAACGCATTACTGCTTCACGGTAGAAATAGACAGGGTGGCGGTACCCACCCGCGCGGACTCACAAGAGGTCCTACCACCAGTGTAATATTGAGTACAAAGGTCTACTGGGTACAAACGACTCAAGACATATTATCAACTCCAATGAAGCGCACACTGACTCGTCTAGTTTTAAATGCAACGCATTGCAGCCTAAATGGCAGATGCATTAACCAACTCGTGTGGTTATAATCACCGCCTACAATTATTCCCTAAATGTAAAATCTGAATAAAATGGCAGTTGTGTCACAACAATGGTCATATTCTCATAACATTGTCATCATCGAAAGTAGAACTCTATATTAAACTAAAATACTCACAGCTATACTATAAGGAATGGCGATAATATAAATTACGGCGGAAATAAATCTTATAGTGCACCAGAATTTTAGAAATATGCCGTGCGGAGTAATGCAAATTGGTAGAAATATGTATCTCAAATGTCTGCAATACAAATCATTCAATAATAAATTAGGTGCGTAAATTAAATTCTTATTTTAAAAAGCATGAAAACAAATTAAATTATTTGAACAGCTTGTCACAACTCAATTCTTAAAAAATATTATACAATTGTCAAATTTATATTTTTTCATTCGACAGTAATCACACTGCGGTTGCTTATGGGTCCATCTACTCAGGAGCCATCTTGCTTATTTATTGCTACCGACACCTCAATATTATGATTGTTTTATTCAAAACAAAAAAACTTCTAAACATATACTAAGTTAAATAGAACAGTAGAGAAAATGGAGAAGTAACCGCTTTACTATCGGGTCGTCGCGTCCCCTTACGGGGGCGCGGGACTAGCCTCGGGGAAACCCCTCTGCCTGGGCTTGTGACTCCCTGTCTTTAAGGTAGGGGTGATGCGCTACAGGTTGGTAAATGGCAGGCTTGATTTTCATATTTTATAGTAATTTTATAGTAACCGCTTCATCGTTTCCTATTTATTTATAACTTTTATTATTTTTATATTTATTTATAATTTCAAAAAGAAACAAGCAAAACAATTACGATTTGAAGTTTAATCATCCAGCCATTCTATACCAAGTTTCAAGCGAATAGGACAAACCGTGTACGACTATAAACCTTTTTTTCCCTTACCTATTCGCTGGTAGCCAAAGGAGCTATTCCAGCTACGCCCGGTCGGGTAGGTGAACTCACGGACCCAACCTGAGAGAATTTGCTAACACTAGCCCTAGAGTAGTGCTTGGTAGAATCTACCAACGGATCGGATACGCGACCCACTGAGAAGATCGGGCGGGAAACTCAGTGGTCTAATTTTGTACATTTGTAAGACCCGCTCTAGGAGAACCTAAGTGAATGACCCTGTAGCTTTGATGGAATAATTTGAATTTCACAACTTGTAAGAAGCGGTTTTAGTATTACGGCTTACCTCATCACTCCTAACTTCTTGAAGATCTCCAAATAGTGAGCTCTCGTGTCCGGTTCGTTCAAAACCACGAAACTTTCCTTTATCTCTCTCTAAAACAATACGAGCTTTGGAACAAGTCGGCCGTGCCCACTAAACATTAATTTAAGCCTATTATTTACTTACCGCTATCCTGTTAATTTTGACATCCAGACGTCCAATCAAAGGTTTGGCTTCCTCAAAACATTTTGCTTTCGATAACAAATCGACATCTTCTTGAAGCTAAACAAAGATCGTTCTCAAAGTTAGAATTAACTTGATGAAATGTTATTGTATTATTAATATTACTAAATCAAAATTATTAACACAATACAATTATTGCCAAATGCGTTGACCACAAAAATATATCGAATAATACAGATAGAAGAAACCGTTGCGTAACGGATAAGACCCCAGATGTATTCGTATTGAGACACCTACCATACATCAAACTATGAAGGCAGGTCCCAATTTCTAAATAAATACGTACTCACTTTCAGGACGAAAGAATAGCGTATCACAATCAAAAGTCAAACCCCCAATAGGGACTTACTCGAGCGCGCGCCGATTAATACGACCCTGCCTATTCCTGCCGAGCCTGCCTGTTTTTGACAGCCACAATACAATGGCGTTGAGTTGAGCGTGTCAAGGTTAGTGACCACACTCACAGTCTTTGGGTCCCCCGGTAACCGTAGCCCAGTGAATAAAACACCTTATCGCAATTCAACATACAATATTTTCAAGATAACTTCGCATAAATACAAGTTTCGAACAAAAACATTCGGACCTTCGATCTACCGAGCAAGATCGGCGGAAGATCTTCTTTTTGTCGTTATCTCCCCAAAGTCCCAAACTAGTGGCCCGAGCGTCATATTTACACGAAACCATTCGATCTGGAGTCAAAGCGCTACCATTTCGCCACGCAACTATCCTCCTAAATGTATCTAACAAACGAATCCGCGACACATACCTCATTAATAACTTTGCGAACTTTAATTAGATCACGTAAGTATCACTAAGCCAAACGACTAAGTTAAGTTTTATTACAGCAATCAGATACGAGTTAAAATTAATAGGATAACCGCGTAGGTACTATTATTACAGATGCTGAAAAGTTTTTAAGTTAGAACGTTCGCTTCGTCTATTGTGTTGGGGCTGGTATTAAATGCATGAATCACCGTGATAATGGGGTAACTAATATCCGGAAACGTGCCCAGGCACTGCACGAGCGCGGTGTATTCAACGTGGAGTAATATGCAGTTTGTCGACGTCAGAACCGTGTGTACCTGTTAAATTGCACATAATATTACATTCGTTACAGATTTACGATCAAACGGATGGCGATTTTCGGGCTGTGACTATCAATGGAATTGGATAATCATATAACACTACGAGCGAGGCGGGCCGTGAGTTCGTTCACCCGATTAATTAAAAAAATCTGATCCATGAGCTTCGGCAACCGCTTATGTTTTTATATAAAACTAGCGGTACCCATCCACTTCGCTGGGCATTTAAAATTAACATTATTATTTCTCACCCCCACAAAGATTCTCATCATTAACGCCCCCGCAACTGGTGTAGGGAGTCCAACACTCATATAAATAGTAGCCTATCCATTAACTACATGTATTTTCTACATGGATACTAAGTTTCAACTCAATCGGATGCATGGTTCAGTAGTTATAACGGAACATCCGTGTAAACCACTGTAGTTTTATATATTAGTATAGATCTTACCATATGAAGTACCTCTATACATTAATAATAATAATAATAACTGAAGAGAAGTCATACATAGTCATCTGACCCCAAACAATGATTTCATGTACTATAGGAACCATACGGATATACGGACTTATATAGCTTTTTTTAAATAACCATATATAAACAGCAAGTAAACCTGTTTATCACACGAACTTTTGCCTGATGTGAGAATCGAACCCACGACCTACGGCCCCACCGAGTGCACTTTTAGTTCGAGAACACAACATAATAATAATTGAAACAATGATGATAGTGTTTGTTAAATAACGTGTAAATATTTCTGACTTCAATCTTACCTTTGGTAATCCATAGAGCATCTCTACAACGCCAAAATGGTCACCGGGTCCAATATTTTTTTCTATCTTACGATTGTGATTTAGCACGTCACAATAACCCTAAGAAAGAATTAGGCTTTTTAAAGTGAAAAAATATATTTGTAAAATTATCATTATTTTTTATTTTCGTTTTCATAATTTTCACTAGCAGTAGGTGTACTTTGTTAATGGTTACTAATAACATAAACTGACAACTATTAGTACTAATACTATTTTTACTAATATTTTGTACGCTGCTTACAGAGGCTACATCTTGACACCTCTAAAAAATTTTATACAAAAACTAGCTGACCCGGCAGACTTCGTAGTGCCTCAATCGATAAATATAAGTAATAGACCTAAACTTTTGTATAAAACAAACTTTAAACGAACAAAAGGAATCCGTCCGACGGGGACACATCAAAGGAAAACAAAATTGTTATTTTTATTTAATACCGTGCATTTTCATATTTATCGACCTTTTAAACCTTCTTTGGACTTCCACAAATAATTCAAGACCAAAATTAGCCAAATCGGTCAAGTCGTTCTCGAGTTTTAGCGAGACTAATGAACAGCAATTCATTTTTATATATATAGATAAACACATTATGTCCCAGGAACAGTAATATCATTCTCTCTGAACTATCACTCGCATTGTTCAACACGGATGCTACAGATGTATTCAAACTACAAAACCTTCTGCAAGATATACATGTCCCGGCCGATGTCTGCAGCGTGCTGCACGATCTCATTGTCGGGCAAAACTATTGTTCTGGTGTTCGCTGCTATCGTCTGAAGGAAATCGCGATTGCATCCCTGGATATATGTACAAATTCTATATCGTATGCTTTATGTCAACGATTACTCTGTTCTATTCATATTGTAGATTGTAAATGCGATTTTATGGCATAACTGAAGTTTTAACACTTAAAATTACTTCTGCTGTGTTTTTTAGCAACAAAATTATAACAATTATAGGAGTAATTCACGACTAAGGAACATGTTTTTTAGTATCCAAAATGTCGGTGGTTATAAACCAAAATAATAAACTTGCGAAAACCAAAGAATATGCAAAATATAGGAAGTGGCTATTTCATTGTTTTATTTGCGTATTGTTGGTAGATTAGATTAATTAGATGCTTACATTAATTCAGTAGAATTATTTACCTGAAATAGTGGACATTGTAGCAAGGTATCAACCATTTCAATACATAGGATCTCTTGCTGTATGTTAGAGGACATTTCGTTAAATATTTTTTGAGTCGGAATAGCTTTGTTATAAGACCTGGAAATATTTTTAGCAATTAATTGATTTAGCAACTAATCGTCCATTATCATCTAAATTTTTAAGTAGTGGAAACTTCTGAAACAGTATAATGTCTAGTAGTAGCATAGCATGTCTTCTTTTTCTTATCAGCCCATAGACGTTCACTGCTGGACATCGGCTTCCCTCAAGCCTCGCCACAAAGACCGGTCCTGCGCTGTCTGCATTCAGCGGATCCCCACGAACCTCAATAGATCGTCAGCCCATCTACCCACGCTACGTCTTCCGGTACGCGGTCGCCACTCAAGAAATTTCTGGCCCCAACGGCCATCCGTTCTGCGAGCAATGTGTCCTGCCCACTGCCACTTCAATGTCGCGATCCTTTGGGCTATGTCCGTTACCATGGTTTTCCTGCGAATCTCCTCATTTCTGATTTGATCTCGCAGGGAAACTTCGAGCATAGCCCTCTCCATTGCTCTTTGGGTGACCTTGAGACCTGATACCTGACCTTGAGACCTGATACTTGATACCTTTGACCATGTCTGTACATATAATTAAACCGTCCAAATACATTTAATTATGTCCATCCTCTTTTATCACTTGTTTAAAAAAGAGATAAAAATACATACTCCTGTAGGTTATAATTATGTCAACGAAAACTAAAGAAAATACAATGGATGGACAATGTGCCAATTTTTTGGCAGTTGGCGGGGCTTAGAAAAAAACGTAAGCACAGAGATGCCTTCAGGCGCGCAAATGGGACTTAGCAACAGTACTTTGAATGCTCCGAAACTAAATAAATTAACAAACCTCAAAGCTCTTACCATTGAACGCAGAAAAAGTTTTTAACGCGTGCCTTAATTCTTTGGTTAACGCGATTAGCGGTTAAGAAATAGAATAATTCCCTCATTGATTCCTAAAATGGAAACATTATGGTTTACTATTATTTTGCGGTAGGCAGCGGCTTGGCTCTGCCCCTGGCATTGCTGAAGTCCATGGGCGACGGTAACCACTCACCATCAGGTGGGCCGTATGCTCGTCGGCCTACAAGGGCAATACGAGCATACGGCCCACCTGATGGTGAGTGGTTACTGGAGCCCATAGACATCTACAACGTAAATGCGTCACCCACCTTGAGATATAAGTTCCAAGGTCTCAGTATAGTTACAGCGGCTGCCCTACCCTTCAGACCGCAACGCATTACTGCTTCACGGCAGAAATAGGCGGGGTGGTGGTACCTACCCGTGCGGACTCACAAGAGGTCCTACCACCAGTACAAAATTATATGAGAATATCACCAATGTTAATCCGAGTCAACAAAATATGCATTATTAAAGATAACTCAAAAACAATTGGTGATATCTTGATAAGATTGGGATAACACGAAAAGAAAAAAATAACAGTCATTAATAACGATTCACCCAAAAAAAATCTGACGTAGCACACATAAAAATACAGTCGTATTAAATTTCTTACTCGTTTTTTAACGTTAGTTAAATATTGAACGCCGTTATACAGAGTACCAGGTCACTAGCTCTTTATTTTATTCATAATTGTAGAAATATATATGTCGGCGCGCGCCAGGGAGGGCTAAGCGGTAGTTTCCGTCATCACTCGTATTCGATTGAACTCAGTTTAGTCAATAAAACCTTTTGAATGATAATTATTGAAACTCAACACACACAACTTTCACAATGACAGGGTAAACCGACAGTTTCGTTCCACATACCGACAGACCGACTGACTGACTGCCAGAGACTCACTCACCTCACCAGGCTCACCAGGCGTTACGGAGTCTACCCTACATTTTGTGATATTTATCAAAACAACATTTCATCATTTAAAATAATAGTCAAAACAACAACAACGTCTTAATATTACTAAAAGTCGTTAACCACGACATATAGATACGTAGTAAACACAGAAGCTAACAAGCAAGCACAAGCACAGCACAAGCATATAACAAATTAACAAACCCTGAAATTCAATTGTCTACTCGTTGACAGCATGTAGACGCTACAAATGTTCGCTGTGTAATAACAACTCAGGTATGTACCAAAAATGAATATCATTGCAACCTGCAACAATAAATAACTGTATACTAGAGGTCCCGCAGTAGTCGAAATTCGACTATAAAATCAATTGGAATTCTAAGTTTGTACACTATTATGATTGTATTTTATACTTCTATAATCATGAATTTCGCCAAGGCTATACTATAAAAAAATATTAATAAAGACAAACAATTATATTTAATCTATTCTCAATTTGATCACAGACGTCAAGAACAAAAGTTTGACAATAAATAGATGCATGCGTGTGTGCGTCAAATACATGGTATGTAGTGTGTGTAATGTTTTCTTTATTGATTTAATGTATCTTATATGCATTATTTAAAAAAAATATTAGCATTGTGCACTTCTTCTCTATATTCTGTATAAGTGTGGAAAATTTCATAACCCTCCGTCCGCGCAATTTTCGTAAAAATTGGATACAAAGTTTTTGCTTCACTTATTAATATATAAATAACTTATGTATATTATTTACAATTCAATGAAAAATAAAAATATTGTTTTTGTTTATTTTCTAATTTACTTTGCGTTCAATGAGTGAGTTTATTAGAGAGCATGCTAATCTAAAAATATATATTTAATCTATGTTTGTAATATCTACAATCGCTCTACGTTTATGTGAGGGCTTTTTTTTCTCAAACTGAAATCATTGGACTTACACTGCCAATCAGTAAACGGGATGCGTTGCAGTTGAACCAACAGGTTTTCCTGTTATTCGACAATCTACGTCCAAATCTTATCAGAAAAAATCGGTCGAAGCAATGAAAGTGAAGTGAAGCGTTTATGGCGGTGAACCTTATCTTTTCTTATCTATGACTTTATCTATCTTTGGGCCTAATGTGCCATCATGCTCTGGAATACGGTAAGCAGCGGCTTGGCTCTGCCCCTGGCATTGCTGAAGTCCATGGGCGACGGTAACCACTCACCATCAGGTTATGCTCGTCTGTCTACAAGGGCAAAAAAAACCGTCTGGACCGGAGAACACTCGGTTGCCGGTCGGCTGATAATTTCAAAGTCAATGCACATTTCTACGAAAACAATTTTATTACAATCCTTAAACCCATCGCCAACTAAGTTTTAACTCGCATCTCACTAATGCTATTATAAACTTCCTGTTTTAATAAATTAAGTTACCTTTAAAATACTGTTTTAGGTGAGAAGTACATTTTTACTCATAAAAACTAAGCAATAATAACCAGAGGTAAATCCGAAGTGCCAGGGGTTAAATCGTAGGTCCCCGAGCCCGTAAATATAGAGGTACCGAAAGACAACGCTGTAAGTATCGGTTGTTCATGCTTTGAAAAATTCTTCATGAACACTTTCGTCTCCAAGTTTATTAGTTTACACATCCATGAGCTCTAAGGAGAACAAAAACGCTTCAAGTGTATTTCAAAAGAATTAAGATCTAAATTAGATAAACTTATTTTGTAGGGATTTTAGTTAAATGTACTATTACTAATACTGCGCTGGCGCTATGACCCCGAAGTGGGTCTTGGCCTCCGACAATAAACGTTGACATTCATCTCGGCGCTGCCCAACAGCTTGCCAGTCCGACACTTCGAGCTCACGTTAATATCCTTCCACAGCGTCAGACCAGCGGTACTGGGGCCTCCCTACAGGGCAGTGTCCCTCCGGTACACCTGCGTAAACCCGTTTTACAGCCCGAACCTGCTCCATACGCACTAAATGCCCGAAAAAAAGGCCCCTTCTTTAAAATTTTCAACTGTGGTTCTACGCTTGTTATAATAGGTATGTATACAGGCAGCAGTAGGGCGTATTTAAGGACTACTCATACGTTAGGTACCATGTCCCCCATTGCCATAGGGGCAAAACAAAGCCGCTATCGCCCGAAGCATGTCTTGTTGGATTCCCTGGATCCACTATCAGTGGTTTTAGGTTTTTCAAGCACGGGTCCCGTCATTGTCGAACTCGTCGATTAACGAACCACACATTGTCTCAAGTTGAGCCCCGTGAGTTCAGCGAATAGGTAGGAAAAAAATAATGATTTGTGTGTACTGTGTACTGATTTGGGTATACCTCGCGACAAAGTTTTCTAGGACACGCAAAAATATATAACAAACAGCCTGACCAGTAACTGAATATCACAAACACAATCGTGAACCTCAAAAGGCTAAGGATCTGAAACAAAAAAATTAAATGGTGTACTTCATAATCTTCAAGGTTTTTGTGTTCAACGTTAACTTCAAGTTACTGCGTACGAAAGGACTGAAGGACTTAATGTGATACCACAATTAGTCGTCAGAGTTTCTCGACTCAAGGACAAAATCAAGAAAATAATGTTAAATCTGTTTTAGTATTTAATTAAGGCAAATGGGCTGATACACTCTGCAATTCATGGTCGATCATTCATAGTACGTTTCCAGATATCTATTTTTACGTATCTCAATCCCACTTGGGAGTGAACTCCCCTTCAATGAGTTTTCTGAGCAACGTTAAACGATTTTCTGTGCCTCTAATTAATGATTTCTAAAAGGGAAATGTGGCGGTAAGCGCGCTAATAGGTGGCCAGTAAGAAATGTATTAGAAGATCCGAAGACCAGGCTGTTGTAAATTAGGAGAGCCCTACATCCAGCAGTAGACGACCGTGGGATGACAATGACGGTGATGATTATGATGATGATGACGGCAATTAAACAACAAAACAAATAAGCTTCTAAGACGCCATCTGTAAGTAAAAACCTTGTGGTGAGATTTTAAATTATTTTTCCATTTTTCCATGTAATTCCATATGTGCCACACTTGTAAAATTGGGAATAACAGAGCTATTTGTCCTGTTACTGAAACGCCGTTAGGATCGATGGTATCCGTGAATATGTACACTGGAAATACTGATATTATATCAATGTAGAAGCCAATAGACCCCATTTTAGCTTCTGCTATCTCCTTTATGGTTATTTTTCTTTTGTTCTGAAAATAACAATGAAAAACATAACGATGGTAATAGCCGAAGCTTTTAGCCAAATACAAAATACATTGTTAAAATTAAACTAGTTAAGTCTAAATCCGATTTATCAACGATTTGTATTAGTAAGTCGTAGTAATGAAAGAACATTTTTAGTGGATTGCGAGAAAAATTTTATCCAAATAATTTTACTGTCATTAAACTTGACTAAATCTATATATTAATACGCGAAGCAGAAAGTTTGTACCCCTTTTTACGAAAATTGCGCGAGGAGGAGTTTAAAATTTCTCATACTTAGAGAAAATATTGAAAAGGAGTGCAGAATGTTAATATTTTTATTAATTATGCATAAAAAAATTATTAAATCAATATAGAAAATATTACACACACTACCATGTATTTGACACAACACATGTAGATACACATACACTTTGTATTTATTGTTAACTTTTGATATTGTTGAAAGTCTGTGGTCAAATTGAGAATAGATTAATATTGTTTGTCTTTAATATTATTTGTTTATAGTGTAGTCTTGGCGAAGTTTGTTTTAGTTGTTTTTATTATAGAAGTATAATAAGTCTTTGACAATAGAACCATAATAATGTCTAAACTTATAATTTCAATTAATTATAGTCGAATTTCGACTACAGAGGGATCGCTAAATAATAATAATTTCATCACCTTCACAACAATAGCTGTAGTCAACTGTAAGAATATATTCAGAAGCAAAGCGGCTGTGACAATGAAAGAAATGACAATTTCAGAATCCGACTGCTTGCCTTCGATGGCGGCTCGAGGGCACGTAACACACACATACAGCACCGTCATAAAGTGAATCATATCCCAGAAAAGCGTCTGTTAATAATTAAAAAATAATTACATATTTTAGTCGAACTAAGGTAGTGGGTTACAGTACAGTTTTTTTTTTTATGATTGAACGATTACTGGTTTCCAGTTTCACCAGGACAGGTTGGCGAACAAAGGTTCAGCCAGGAGGGGTCGGATTTGCTAACAGATGCCCGAGCGCCTCCGAAGGAGACCTAACAACTCAAGAGCAGCTGCTTCGCGAATGAATCTACTACCAGATCGGAATCGCAACCCGCTGAGAAGATCCAGCAAAAAACTCAGCGGGCTGATGCATGTGTTAGGTTGCATGTCGTAATCTTTGCCGAGTTCGACGAGTACGGTTACCGGGGGTAAGTACGTACAATAAGGCAGTACACTACAGTTATTAAGTTCTTTCGGTACTGGTGCTAGGAAAACTTGTGAGCCAGCATGGGTAGGTGCCACCACCCTACCTATTTCTGCCGTGAAGCAATAATGCGTTTCGGTTTGAAGGGTGGGGTAGCCGTTGTACTGTTAAAACTGAGAACTTACAACTCATGTCTCGAGGTGGCAGCATTTACGTTGTAGATATCTATGGGATCCGGTAACCACTTAACACCAGGTGGGCCGTGAACTCGTCCAACCATCTATGCTATATCAAAAAAACTCTATTTCATTCAAATATTCTAAGACACAAAATAGTTTATCTAGCATATGTTATAGAATTGATAAAAAGATTTATCCAAAGCATTTATTTCTTAAAATAGAAGACTTATAATAAAATATTTAGAAATAGGTACGTTTAAGAATAGAAAAATAAAATATTTACTTACAAAACTAGTGTCGGGCTCTAAAATCCAGGGGAAGTTTGATCTCAGACAGATACGGGGATAGTCTACTGTTGTAACATTGTTAGTGATTTTATACAGCTCTAGATACTCTGTAGTGAATTTAGGCTTACGAATATTGTCTTCGTCTGTGAAGTATATATAAATTGATTATTAAATACTTACCAACGATTTTTTTTATTGTTTAGATGGGTGGACGAGCTCACAGCCCACCTGGTGTTAAGTGGTTACTGGAACCCATCGACATCTACAACGTAAATGCGCCACCCACCTTGAGATATAAGTTCTAAGGTCTCAAGTATAGTTACAACGGCTGCCCCACCCTTCAAACCGAAACGAATTACTGATTCACGGCAGAAATAGGCGGGGCGGTGGTACCGACTCGCGCGGACTCACAAGAGGTCCTACCACCAGTAATTACGCAAATTATAATTTTGCGGGTTTGATTTTTATTACACGATGTTATTCCTTCACCGTGGAAGTCAATCGTGAACGTTTGTTGAGTACGTATTTCATTAGAAAAATTGGTACCCGCCTGAGATTCGAACACCGGTGCATCGCTCAACACGAATGCACCGGACGTCTTATCCCTTAGGCCACAACGACATCGAAATTTACGATAACACGAATGCAATTAATTTCTTCACGAATACATTATATAGCTACAATGAACTGGAATAACAAATAATGTACATAGATAAAGATTTTGTACATAAATTGAGGCGTACATATATACATACATATGTCCCTCAGGTCTCGAGGCAGAAACTCATAACAAAATCGAGCCAGACAAAAGAAAACTTTTGTTACATCTAATCCAACAAATACATGAGGTTTAAGTAAGATCAAAACATTTTCTTGTCTTATTAAATAGCCGTCAATATATTTTTTTTATTTCGTTTATATTTCAAAATTTCATAAAATCTATAGCTTTTGAAATATTGTAACGTATGCGGAAGGGTATAATGGTGTTTTTACAGCTACCAGAGCTTAACGTGATACATCGCTTTCGCGTAGTACGAGATAGCACCGATAAGCTTCTGAATGCTTATAACAAATAAATGTTCTATAAAAAATATTTTTATAATAAATTTTTCAAATAAAATGAACAAATTAATTTTATTTGCGAACGGTTTTGGAGTGTATTAAACTTCTAAAAGAATAAGGTTTTAATATTACGCTACTAGTAATTTAGCTATTAGTAAACGCTACCCAGAGATAGAGATATATGATCAAACCGGTCACCGTCTTCGTCGAACCCATCGATTATGACGAAGAGGTCGACGAGCAATCTAACCCATAGACAGAGCCCACTAGGTTTCTCACCGGATCTTCTCAGTGGGTCGCGATTCCAATCCGGTGCTCTGCTAGGGCTAGTGTTAGCAAATTCTCTCAGGTTGAGCCCGTGAGCTCACCTACCTGTCCGGGCGTAACTGGAATAGCCCCTTAGGCTACCAGCGAATAGGTAAAAATTATTTTTATCATCAAACCGATCATCCCGCGATTGCTTCCCCATTTTCCGTTCACTATTTTGGTGTCCCCAGAAACTACATAGTGAATATTTTTATCCACCATGAATCGAAGTATCATTTGCAATAGATAACGGCTGGTCCAAATTGGACCGCAATACTGAGTCACTGTCGAACTAGGCCAGATAACAATCCGTGCTGGCATACAAGGGGCCTTCCCGTAATAATTCCAGTAATACGTGAATCCACGAGAAGGAATTCGATGGTGATATTCTAAGCCGACCTTCCGCTATTATACATACTACTACCAATAATATTATAGCTAAGAGATTATACTATTATTGCTAATTACTGGTGGTAGGACCTCTTGTGAGTCCGCGCGAATGGGTACCACCACCCTGCCTATTTCTACCGCGAAGCAATAATGCGTTTCGGTTCGAAGAGTGAGGAAGCCGTTGTAACTATACTGAGACTTTAGAACTTATATCTCAAGGTGGGTGGCGCATTTACGTTGTGGATGTCTATGGTTTCCAGTAATCACTTAACACCAGGTGGGCTGAGAGCTCGTCCAGCCATCTAAGCAATAAAAAAAAAAGATATGCATTTTAATGAGAGTAGGATAACGTAAAAGTGTCACAAATTGAAATGAAAGTTTTAATAAAATTCTTTGTACCTGTAAAATACATGTGTGAATCATCAACAAATGCACTGTCTTCGTCCTCCACTCCAGTTAAAGTGTCCTTCAAGACTTTCATAGAACGGTACCTTGTTCGAAGCAAACGTAAATCGCCTTTATCGTTTCTTGTTATAGCCTCCTGATAATTAATTAAAAATTATTATTTATTATTCAAAATTTGACAGAAGAGTTATATTTTTTTTTATTGCTTAGATGTGCGGACGAGCTCACAGCCCACCTGATGTTAATTTATTACTGGTGCCCTTAGACATCCACAACGTAAATGCGCCACCCACCTTGAGATATAAGTTCTAAGGTCTCAGTATAGTTCAACGAGTGCCCCACCCTTCAAGCCGAAACGCATTAATGCTTCACGGCAGAAATAGGCAGGGTGGTGGTACCTACCCCTGCGGACTCACAAAAGGTCCTACCACCAGTAAAAGTTACCAAAGACAGACCGCTATGGGAATCGCTAGCGGACTACTTATAACAAAAGGCACACTAAACCAAAAGGCACCTGGTGGAACATAAACACAAAATGCTTAAAATTAATCACTTTTCGGAATTCGGAGTAATTGAACAAATTATAAATTAATGATTATAAATGGTATGATTGATTACACAATAAGTACATAATTAAATGTCTTTTTACGGATTTGTCGAGTTTCTAAAAAAGTTAAAAAAAAATATTTTTCATTATATCTACGACCCCCGAAAACTGTAGACAGTATAATAAGTACTTAAAAATCATAATAAGTACTTAAACGACAATCAATATTCATAGCTGAGGTAAACATTACGTTTTAGATCAGTAATTTTCAGTTTCAAATCAGATGAAGAAGGTATGCAATCCCGATTACGTCCACTTACTTTTACGGTCTTGTTACTTCTCAATAGTAACAGTAAACTAGGTGAGCTGTTTATCCCCCTAAATCTTAAGCCTCTTTCTTTTTGACTTAGACGCCATCTAGTTATTAAATTAAATCTTATAACAACTAAATCGGGTTTCAAAATGGCGTTATATCCATGAGCCCCAGTAACCGTTTGATTTTAGATGTGTTTATCGCTTAAACAGGTGAACAAGCTCACGGCTCACTTGGTGCTAAGTAGTTACCGGAGCTCATAGACATATACAAAATGAAAGTCGCGATCCAACTTGAGAAACAAATTCAAGTCTCAATTCCATAGTACAATGGCTACCCCGCTCTTCAAACTGAAGTGCATCGCACTGGAAATAGGCAGGGGTAGTGGTAACGAATTGAGCTCTGCAGACGCCCTACTACCGGTAATGGACCGTGAGCTAGTCTATCCTTTTAGCCAATGAAAACAAGAATTTATTTCCAAGAATTACAACTAAGCTGATATGCAATATGGTGAAAAAGTTACACGCGACTCTAAACTATAAATATGATTTTACTATCCTATTTACGATCCATACAGTATGGTAGGCACGACACTAGTGAAATGCGATATTTTTTCCCGTGAAAGGATTACCTGTCTTTTCCGAGATTTATGGAGTCTATCCTGAATTCTTTCACGAATGTGTTGTAACGTATTCGGATATTCAGCTATCACTCGCATGAATTCAGTTCTGCGTAATACCTTTAAAAAAAACAACCTTATTTTTCTTGGTTGATTTTGGGTAGATAAGTAAAGCTTTTGAGAGTTTAAGTACTTCTGCATTTTCTGGGTGACCGATTGATATTTAATTTTAATTGAAATAGTAAAGTCTAATACAGAAAAACGAATAATTAAAATGTGATATTTTTATCGTTTCAGTAGGTATTTTAATACCTAAATTTTGGGGTTAATGCTAATAATAATAAAATGTAAACCATAAAACTAAAAACAGATGAATTAAAAGTAGTTTTAGAGCGCAGATTGTATTTTTGTGTGCTAGCTTCAATAAAAACTAAATTCAGAGCGAAGGATTTTTTTCTCTTGATGTACGTGCCCATACGACCAGATTTTTTTGTGCAGCTGCAACTAACTGTGTTGCCATACTTATTAGTCACACTTAAAGATAGTTATAAATTATTAAATTTTTATTTATTACTGAAATTTCATTATTAAAATTTTCATTATTAAAATTTCATGCTTAGGATTGTCCTTAACAAGTAGCACCAAAAGAAGAAACAGAAAAGTTTTACTTTGCTGGTGGTAGGACCTCTTGTGAGTCCGCACGAGTAGGTACCACCACCCCGCCTCTTTCTGCCGTGAAGCAGCAGAAAGTGGCAGCAGCTTGGCTATGCCCCTGACATTGCTGAAGTCCATAGGCGACGGTAAGCACTTACCATCAGCTGGGCCGTGTGCTCGTCTGCCTACAAGGGCAATAAAAAAAAAGCAGTAATGCGTTTCAGTTTGAAGGATGGGGCAGCCGTTGTAACTGTACTGAGACCTTAGAACTTATATTTCCAGGTGGGTGGCGTATTTACGATGTCTATGGGCCCCAGTAACCACTTAACACCAGGTGGGCTGTGAGCTCGTCCACCCAACTAAGCAATAAATAAAAAAGTCTCGTCATATGGCACGTTGCAATGGATGTAGTGCTGAAGATATTAGAGTTGACGTGAGGCAGGCGGCTGGTAGTAAAATTAATCCAAAATCCCTATACAGGATAAGGGAACATACTGCGCCGACCCTTCATTAGGTAGGATTAGAGCAAGAAGAAGAAGAAGTCTCAATTGTGTAGTATTAAGACTGTTCACCCCTCAAACCGTAACGCTTTACTACTTCGCGGCAGAAATAGGCAGTATGGCGGTACCTACCCGTGCGGGCTCACATACATACGCTTTAATACAAGCAATAACCCGTATTGAAATTTTAAGCTTTTCAGCGGATTCAATTTCTATTATACGATGCTGTTCTTTCACCGTAGAAGTCAATCGCGACCATGTTGCATTATTATAATGTGTGCAATTTACTAATTTTGGAATGCAAAAAAATCTCTATTCGACATACCTGAACTTCAACATAAGTTGCGGCTTTGACTGTAACTTTAGCGGGTATGGAATAAAACAAACTCAACTCTCCCAGCACCTGCAATAGGAGTATAATCAACAGGCATATTTATCAATGATATTTTTACTTTCATCACACAAAGTGACACACTGACACTGTTATTCCATACGTCTAATTTAAAGAAAATATAGCTTTATCATAAAATTGTAGTATTAACACAGATCGAATCTTATGATCTTAATTATTTTCTAAGATACGTGTATACGGACGACTTTCACTATGAAGTGTTTAAAATGTATCAGTTATAAAAATGAAAATTGCGAAATTATAAATTAGCACAATTACTGATGGTAGGGAATTTTGCAGTCTCACACAAATATGTATCACACTATGCTGGCTTCTTTTCATTGCTACCGCAAAGCAAGCATTCATTCTGGGTTGAGAAGTGAGACTGTGTTTATAGAATAGAATTGAGACGACCTGATGTCTCAAAGTGGTTGTTGGTATTCACAAGTGGCATTCTCGTTGAGATGGCTGTTGGCTCCGGTAATCACTAAGCAGCAGGTGAGCCGTGAGCCCGTTCAGCTATCAATGTACAAACAAAATTCTGTTACTTCTGCTACTGTTAAATAGCCTAAAGTATGGAATTATGTATCTTCTGGCTAATAGCCAGACAGCCTATTTCTGTATAGACTGTCCAAAATCCTCTGACCATTTGAGGACACAAAACAAACACATTTCTCGGCCCAAAGCTAAGATATTTTTTTCGGGTTCATTCACGCCGGAAACATCCTAGAAAAGTAAATCCCCATAGCCTGAATACCAAACACCCTTAACAAAGATACGAATTCCGGCCTTGAGTTAAGACCCGACTTCATAATAATCACCAAATATTCGAAGAATGTTTTTTTCCTACCTAAGCTGATAGCTTTGAGAAGCTATTTCAGCGTAACCTTAACTAGTAGGTGAGCTCACGGGGCTCAAACCTAATGACGTTGCTAACACGAACCCTAGCAAGAGCCGTACTTCGCAGAGTCTACCACCGGGTCGAAAACACGACGCACTGAGAAGATCCGGCGCGAAACTCAGTGGGCTGTGTCTGTGGTTTAATTTACTCGTCGAGCCTTTCGTCGCAAGCGACGGGTTCTACGAGAACGATGACAGGTGCTTGAGGTACCTAAAAGCACCGTTAGTGGATCGGGAGGATCCGAAATGACGTGTTTTGGGCGACGTCGACTGCTTTCCACTATGTCCGCAGGATCGGGAATGTAGTTACCGGCGGCCACGATGAGAGAGTTCTCGTGTCGTGTCGTTTTATCGTAGTGCGAAGAATGAACCGATCGCTCTAGGTAAGATACAAAATACTTACAGTTCCTTCTTTAAACGCAATCATAGGACTCTCGTCGTCTTCATCAGACAATATTTCGAGGACGCCTCGTTTGACACAAATCATACCACTCTTCACGACTCCCTGACTCCAAATCGTTTGACCGGCGAGGAATAGCTCGTGTCTCATCAATAAGGATATCTGACGCATGAAAGCTTCGTCTAAAAACATTGGAATCGTGTATAGAAGACGAACATCGCACTCAAAGTCTACAGCAGATATTTTGATATTAAACATCAATAGTATGAGGCATATATTCAACAGCATTGTTTTTTATTTACGCAGAAGACAGATAAATGCATCTTCAATCTCATGGTTAAAGGTTATGTGTAAAATAAATAGCTTAAAGTCTTTTCTGAGGAATTGACTTTATTTTTTAAAACGGGTGATACTCACGTGTTATAGCGTCNACTCAAAGTCTACAGCAGATATTTTGATATTAAACATCAATAGTATGAGGCATATATTCAACAGCATTGTTTTTTATTTACGCAGAAGACAGATAAATGCATCTTCAATCTCATGGTTAAAGGTTATGTGTAAAATAAATAGCTTAAAGTCTTTTCTGAGGAATTGACTTTATTTTTTAAAACGGGTGATACTCACGTGATATAGCGTCTTTAGGCTTCGTTAAACAAAATGTAAGCCGTCTGTTCATATGCCTAATCTTCAGCATTAAATAATGCACTTAATTTAATTTGATCGGAACGAAATAAAAAGAATTTACTCATCGAGAAGTAAATTGTATAGAGTGCACATAGGTTGTTATTATTTAGCATGGTCAGTACATGTTTAAAAGACTTGATCGTAAAAGCCGTAGTATTTTATCATCACATAAAATTTCATACAAGATACAGCGTTTATGTATATAGCAAATGAGTGTAAGTAACTTCGTACATTGACTTTCATAAGCAGTACACGCGTAATGTCAAGACGAAGTCCGAAGTCTTAATTGTATTATAAAACGACTTTCCCACTCTTCCAATGAAAATATATGCTTATAGTATTTTCTACGGGTCGTAGACATCATTAAAACTACTTTTACAGCTTAATCCCGTGTTACTGTACTATCTATATACGAGTATATTATATTATGTACTATCGCGTTATTACACTTTTTTTTTAATGGCTTAGATTGGTGGACGAGCTCACAGCCCACCTGGTGTTAAGTGGTACTGGAGCCCATAGACATCTACAACGTAAATGTGCCACTCACCTTGAGATATAAGTTCTCAAGTATTGTTACAACGGCTGCCCCACCCTTCAAGCCGAAACGCATTACTGCTTCACGGCAGAAATAGGCAGGGTGGTAGTACCTACCCGCGCGGACTCTCAAGAGGTCCTACCACCAGTCATAAAACTATCATTATACCATTTCCGAAATTTCGAACTTCATAATATACAAAGCATACAATATATTTATCTATAATACAAATGTATGATGTACATGATTGTTTTGTGCCAGAGAAATTAGTATGGTAGTACGGCGGGTGTGCGGTCTCACAATATGTCGTACCACTTACCGATAACAGTATCTTAGCGATCGTAGTATATGCCTATTTTGCCATAGACATGTCCTGCCCTAGACTCGTCCTTACGGATCCATCAGATCCAATAACTCTTGCACTAGACGCCTTCAGCTCTAACGCTAGGAGCAGACTTACGGACCCCGGAAACCCTACTCGTCGAATTCGACGTGCAACCTAACCAACGTATCAGCCCGCTGAGTTTCTCGCCGGATCTTCTCAGCGGGTCGCGATTCCGATCCGGTAGTAGATACATTCGCGAAGCAGTTGCTCTTGAGTTGTTAGGTCTCCTTTGAAAGAGCTCGGGCAGCTGTTAGCAAATCCCACCTGGCTGAGCCTTTGCTCGTCCACCTGTCCTGGTGAAACTGAAAAGGCCTCCGGGCCACCAGTAATCGTTCAATCATAAAAAATATGCCTATTTTCCGATAAATTCTTTTTCACTTATTGTACTCAGGAAAAGTGATGGTATGCTGGTATTTTATATCGACGCCATAGACACAAAATTAAATTAAATTAAAAGTTAACAGGCAAAATTTCAATTGCCAGCTCTCTAATGGCACTCAAAGAACGCGATCTCTCACCGACTATAATTAATTAACAGACGAGATACGGAAAATTCTTTAAAAACTTCGCTAATTATGTAATTTAGTAGCATTTTTATTCGAAATATTACTGAATATCTTTTTCAGATTCTACACATAAAATATTTATGCTTTTGATAAGGTTTATTTTATAAGACTCTTATTGTGAATTTGAATATAGTGCGTGAAAATTGAATCCATAAGATCTATCTATGAACAGCTCTTGTATCTTTATAGTGAAAACAAAGATTCTTCCAAACTATATACATCCTACTACTATTAAAGGTAAAGGTTAGGTCAATATGTATAACGACAATATAAGCAATGTTTACAGTTTTCAAATTAAGATTTCCAACCATTGTTTTAGTTTTCCCATTCTAAAAAACAAAATCGATTTTATGTTTTTATGATCAGACGACAAAAACAACGTGCTTGTAAATCTTGTCCAAACAATTTATTATAGAATCTATACGAGTAATAACTACTCGTAACTTGTTTATACGTACAAAACAGTTTTCTATTTTCTCGATTTTATCATTATATCAAACGGTTTGATTATTACGATATCATCAATGATTGAAAATTACCACAAATTTTCAATCATTTTGCCCAATATTAGTAACACAATGAGAACCTAATTATTGTGGAGTATAGTTCGTACATGTACAGATGTAATTCGGATGGTAGGTTTGGGTTGATGAATAGTATTCATTGATACTTTTTTGAAATTTTACATATTATGTTGAAATTAGCTAAAAATCGATTCAGATCATTTTAGTATTTTATTCAGTTTTCACGGATTACGGGTGTAATTAAATATTATTGTAGCTATATATATAACATACGTATCTGCCGGATGAAATAATTGATTTACATATAAGAGCGATGTCGAAAGAAAGGCCACAAAATGATATGATTACAAATGTTCATAGATGAACTTATGGGATGAAATAAAGCTTCAAACTCCAAAATTACAGGTGTCTTTTTGCATTGGATTGAAATGACTTCTCAAGAATGCAGACTTCTTATGAATGCAGACTCGCAACACCACTATCAAATCACTATAAATATAAATATGTATATAGTGTATAGTGTACAGTGATATTAAACTCACTTAGTCAGCTTACCTGTATCTCTAAATAATATTGAATCATGAAAGTGTCCAACATTCAAATCAAAGATCAGCTCCATTCGTAAAGAGATGGGTATTTTCTTCAACAAATCAGATCTAAGAACTCCGTCTTTAATTTCCCATATTTGCGTTTGGTATTTTTTTATTTGTTCAATCAACTCCGTCGGGGCCCCGCGGAATTTCAAGTAATTCGTCATGTGTTGGTACTGTAATGATAGAACATTTTTTTTTGTATATAGACAAAACCGTAGATGTAATGAAATAAACGCAGACTTTTGTCTGCGAACATATCAAACAGATAATTTTTGGACGAAATGTATCTAAATTGAAGAATTACGGAATCCTGTAGATTTATAAATTTCTTATGATACTGTCATAATGACTGACAGTAGATTATCTTCGCGCAGGGTGGTTTGGGTGTTTAACGCCTACAAAATCAAATATGATAAAGTAAGTATCACCAATACTATATTGCCAGTATACTAATACATTTTAAAACATGGGTCTATACAATAAGATTGAGTTGTTATTGGTATTAACAACTAGTTATCTGAAGAAAAGGAAGCTAAAATATGATTCTTATGGACATGCGTCTGCTTTTTTGGTTTTGTGATTCAAGGATTACTGGAAGAAAGCCGGAGGCCTTTCTAGTTTCACCAGGACAGGTGGGCAAGCAAAGGCTCAGCCAGGAAAAACGTCTAGTGTTCGATCATGGTCTAGTCTATTTAAGACCTTTGGTAATCGAGGTCTGGGATGTACTTATAATCATATGTTACATGTTAGCTTTTTTAATTATTATTATTATTATATGCGGGTAGGTTGTAGCTACTTTTAAAAGGCAGTGTGGAAAAGGCTCTTGGCGCTTTTAAATTTTGTGTCACGTAGAGAAGCTCTCTCGGTTTAAATTATAAATCTGTTCCACTGTTCGATTCATTCCTTTATTTTAACTTATTGCTAGAAAATTGTAGTTAGAAAATAGCATCTAAGTGTAATTAAATCCCATTGCTAAAAACTATTAGAGTCCTTTTGGAGAAGACTTTTATTCTTTTAACAGTACTTCACGTCAGTGCCTATACTTTAAAAAAAATCTAATATAAAAAAATAATCTAATATTTAAAAAAACAAAAAAAAAGACATGCCCGCTGAGTTTCTTGCCAATTCTTCTCAGGACGGAGGCTAGTTCTTGTGAATTGGCGTAGTAGTTCTTTTGACGTTCAACAAGTATGTACTTTCATTTATGTTGAATAAACCTTTTTTGATTTGATTTGATTTATGTATTTTAAGTACCGCAACAGAGGGTTAGCTCAAAGCCAGTTGATAAATGTCCAAAAATTGTCGTTAATTATTTCTCGCCTTAACCAACCATAACCAACCATGTTGTACTATTAATAATTAATTCCCGATATGAAAAACGTAATGTACTCACTTTCTCCATGAAACATGATCTTCGTTTGTCTTTGAGGACGAACTCCCAAACCAGCGTGCCAATAAAACGATACCTCATGAATACGTAACCAATAAAAGATAAAGCTGTCGTCAACCATTTTTCATAAGATGACTACAAATTTAATTTAATCCTCTTTATTTTGTGATTTTTTTAATTATCATCAAACCAAATAACAATATAGTGATATGCAACAAAATCATTGAGTTTTTTACTGGTGGTGGGACCTCTTGTGAGTCCGCACGGGTAGGTACCACCACCCTGCCTATTTCTGCCGTGAAGCAGTAATGCGTTTCGGTTTGAAGAGTGGGCTAGCTGTAACTATACTGAGACCTTAGAACTTATATCTGAAGGGTCGGTGGCGCATTGACGTTGTAGATGTCTATGGGTTCCAGTAACCACTTAACACCAGGTTGGCTGTGAGCACGTCCACCAGTCTAAACAAAAAAAAAAGTTAAAAATCTTTTTACAACGTTAAAACGTAATCTTCGACAACCGTGTTATAAATCATTAATATGCCTATACAATTTATTCTACTATTATTTGTTTGAATTTTATTCATTCTAACATAACTCAATCAGACTTAAGATTCGTTAGACAATAAATGAGGAGACTCCGTTTCTCAACGTCTTTACTTGATTTTGTTTAGACGCTCTGACGGGCACTTATCACTATATATGAAGGGTGCGCTCACTGACTACCTCTATATTTACTTTGCACGCTTCGGGAAAACCGAAAACGTACCAACTGTGAGTGACATAGTTTGGAACCTCCGGGTCTACGGAGGGACTTCGGTTCCCTCTGTATTTTGTACCGTATGTTCCATGGGGAGTGCTCTGAGGAATTGTTCGAGATGATACCGGCATCTCGTTTTTACCATCGCAACGCCGGCCACCGGAGTAGAGTTCATCCATACTACCTGGAACCACTGCGGTCATCCACAGTGCGTTTCCAGAGGTCTTTTATGCCACGTACCATCCGGCTATGGAATGAGCTCCCCTCCACGGTGTTTCCCGAGCGCTATGACATGTCCTTCTTCAAACGAGGCTTGTGGAGAGTATTAAGCGGTAGGCAGCGGCTTGGCTCTACCCCTGGCATTGCTGAAGTCCATGGGCGACGGTAACCACTCACCATCAGGTGGGTCGTATGTTCGTCTGCCTACAAGGGCAATAAAAAAAAATAAAAAAATAAAAAATAACAGACACTTACCAATGGAAATGTATCGCCAAATATAACATTGAAGAAACGACAAGAACAATAATACCAACACGACAAATAACTGAAATTCAAGACAGAACTTTAGCATTTCAAGAAAAAATGGTTTAAGATAGTTTATTTTGTGCGTCCTAGGAAATACCAAGAAATAAGTATTATGTAAATGATAGATCCGTGGTATTTATTCTGTCGCAAAGCAATCGGTTTCGCTGTTTATCTATTGTTTAGTATAAAGATGAAAGAAGCATAGCTGTATCACCATTAGTCATGATACTCCGATCATTTTGTGTTATTTACGGGTGGTAGGACCTCTTGGGAGTCCGTACGGGTAGGTACCACTCCGCCTATTTCCGCCGTGAAGCAGTAATGCGTTTCGGTTCGAAGGGTGGGGTAGCCGTTGTAACTATACTGAGACCTCAGAACTTATATCTCAAGGTGGGTGGCGCGTTTACGTTGTAGATGTCTTTGGGCTCCAGTAACCACTTAACATCAGGTGGGCTGTGAGCTCGTCCATCCATCTAAGCAATAAAAAAAAAAAATACGTTCATGGCTCAACATCAAGTGGCCTCTGAGCTAGTCTTAGATTTTATAGCTTAGGCGTGTGAACGAGCTCACGGCTCATCTGACATTAAGTGGTTACCGGAGTCCATAGACATCAACAACGTATATGCCGACACCCACCTTGAGCATGAGTTCTAAATTTCAACAACGGCTGCCCCGCTCTTCAGAACCAAACGCATTATTTTTTCGCGGCAAATATTTATGAGATGATCGTGAAACCTACCTTTTTTTTCCTACCTATTCTAGTAACCTGGGGGGGTTATTCTAGATTCGCCGAATTAGTAGGTGAGCTCACGGGGCTCAAACCTAATGACGTTACTATGAGACGCTGATGACAAGAACCGTAGCAAGAGCCGTGCTTCGCAGAATCTACAAGTGGATCGGAAACGCAACCCACTGAGAAGATCCGGCGAGAAAATCAGTGGGCTGTGTCGGTGGGTTAATTTACTCGCCGAGCCCTTCGTCGCAAGCGACGGGTTCGACAAGATCGATGACCGCTGCTTGGGGTACCTAAAAGCACCGTTAGTGGATCGGGAAGAGAATCCTACCCGTACAAGCTCACAAAACTCCTTAACACCAGTAATAAGGAACAAATAAAAGCCAAATTGAACGACGTCCACGTCAAGGCTTCGACTTTTACAAGTTTTTTTTTTTTTATTGCTTTGATGGGTGGACGAGCTCACAGCCCACCTGATGTTAAGTGGTTACTGGAGCCCATAGACATCTACAACGTAAATGCGCCACCCACCTTGAGATATGAGTTCTAAGGTCTCAGTATAGTTACAACGGCTGCTCTGCCCTTCAAACCGAAACGCATTACTGTTTCACGGCACAAATAGGCGGGATGGTGGTACCTACCCGTGCGGACTCACAAGAGGTCCTACCGCCAGTAAGTAATACCACCAGTAATTTGAATAACCCATCAAGTTTTAAGTTCTGTATCGGATTCTATATGCTATTAAATTAACTAGATAGGTTTACCTGTTAAAGAATATTTTCTTGGACGTATTGGGCTTCGGATAGCCGAGCGTCACATTTTTGTAGTGGTATATAGTAACAGCACGGGTATGTAGATTGTACCACAGACACGTGCTTGCGTGCAGCACTAGCAGAACAGTCGCAAAGTGCTCCAAGAAATATAACCTTCGACGGCACGTGCGTTTCTGCTGATTACAACACTTGAGTCATTTTTGGATTCTAAAGACCGATCGTTGATTAAATGATAATTATTTTTGACATGCTTTTATTAGTTTGACCTGCGTCTATCTATTTCAGTTACGGAATCTTTAAAAGCAATTTTCAGCAACTCCAAAACGTACAATTGAAAACGTCCGTCTTAAGCATGCCATTAAATACTTTGGCCATAACACCAGGAAAGATTGCGAATTGAAAAGTTTACGGTGACTTAATAGGCCTATTGCAGAAAGTCACGAACCCCCAATATTGGATTGGAGCGGGGGATATTGCCATAGCGATCGATGGCGCAATATTATAACAGAGAAACTTCTGGAAGATTATCGTCACAGCCTTCAGAGTTAATGGACGCCACTACAGAAAAACACTAAGGTTGAGAATTTGTTGATCCATTAAAAATATTCTCAACTTACACGTTCGTTTATATCTTCAAAAAACGAATACAATCTATATATACGACAGATATACAACAAGCGACCAAATATGACTATTTTTTCGAATCCATCGTGATACTGAACTAGAACAAAAAGTAAATATTACTTTTAAAGTAATCATCATCATCATTTTAAAGTAATAATATTTACGAGTATAGCAATTGAATCGTGAATATTATCTGTACAGATATTGGACCTATTTGACAAAGTACATTCTCATAGAGACACAACTTTATTGGCTAACGATTATTCTGATTTAACATCCCTTGTTTATTCCTTATATGAGTAGACGAGCTCACGATCCATGGGAGTAAGTGGTAATCAGAGATATCAACAACAAAAAGCCGCCACCCTCTTTGGGACATAAGTTCGAAGTCTCAATTTTACAGTACAACGTCTCCCCATCCTTCCAGGCCGAAACGCATAACTGCTTCACGGAAGAAATAGACAGAGCGGTAGTACTACCATTTTGTCTATTAACTACTAACACACTAACTGGCACCTGATCTGAAAGTGGCACCTGTGACAGAGAAGCTGAGAAGTGCGCGTTTGGGATGGTATGGACATGTGATGAGACGAAATGAAAATGAGGTTGGTAAGAGAATATTAACTATGAATGAGGAAGGAGGTAGACCTAAGAAGAAATGGATGGATTGTGTGTGAAGAAGAAATGGATGGATTGAAAGACGATATAGGTAGTGAGCGAAGAAATGGTATATGATAGAAGAGTATGGAAGGAGAAAACATGTTGCGCTGACGCCAGGTAACTGGAAGAAGGGCAGGATAATGATATGACACTAACGTCCCACCACTAGTAAAGTAACTATTGTAGTTTATTTATAAATTAGAAAAAAACACTAAATAATATTTTGTACTCACACATCCTAGAGATCGGAATAAGCGATATCAAGTCGTAAATCAAAAGAAATATGTTTCTTCTGTACACTCGAACATAGACACGTAGTAACGGCCAAAACATGTGTAGGCAGCTCAAGACGACGTCGATGAAAAAGATGAATTCGGATAAGAGAAGTCCAAGCTCTGTTAAGAGATTCGCATCATCGAAATAAAAGGTATGTAAAAGACTCACTGTATACCTGTATACAATGGAAAGCATTACGATTGTCTGAAATAAAAGAGTCAAGGATTATCTTACGCTGTTGATTGAAGTAAAACTTCTTTAGGCGCGTTGTGCGTAAAATGTAACGCGCGACAGATTCGATACGGCTAGAGAGAAAAGATACAATTTAGGACGAGCGAGAGTGAGAAAATAGACAGAGCGTCTCGCGAACCACTCGACATTGGAGAGAGAGAGAACGCGAGCTAGGTCGTTTCTCTTTTGTTTACGGGCGTCGGCCACTAGATGGCTTGTTATTAGTTTCTCATTTCTCATTTAGATGACAGTAACATATTAACTATCTTATATTTAATTTTTAATGAAGGATTTTAAAAAATAGTTATTTTTCTATATATAATTTAAAATATATATAAATAGTGAAGAAGTAATTTCTCTTATACACAGCATTCTCTATAATAAGAGAAATTTGGTTTAAGATGAAAAATGAAGAAAACTACAATACTACACGCCGCAAAAGAAGTTTCACTTCTTTCACGTGCACCAAGTTGCACACGCACCATTTTTTTTAATTATAATATTATGATAAAATATTCTTCAACTTAATCGATATTACCTTACAGCTAATCACTATTTCACATTTCGTTACTGTTGTGTTTATTTTTGTTATTTAATAGCTCGAACGCCTGAGCTAGCTCAAAGCCCGCCGGTTACCGGAGCCCATAGACATTAAAACATGAATGCCAAATTATAACATGAGGTCCAAATTAGCAATTGGATTCTAGTAATAACTGCCCTTGCCTTTCTAGCCTGTACGTAACACTTAAGCGACAGAAACGTATAGTAATTTTTGTTACTTATTTAAAAAAATGGTTGTCCATAAAGTCAGTTTTCAGACGATAGTTTTACGTGATAACGTCAGTAGTACAACTATTCGAACTGCTAGCTCTGAGGTCACGCGTGAAGAAAGATTAATGTGTCACAAGCCAACGCTTGACCCGATCCTGCCTCTCTATCGCTTGTTTGGCGCTCTCGCTTGCATGTTCAGGCTCAGGCGGAACGTGACACTTTTTCGTGCATGTTCATCGATTTAGAAAACGTTACCACGTCAAAACAAATTAAAGGTTGTCGGATTTTTTAAAAAAGAAACGAATTACCTGAAACCATAGGCTCCAAGGCGCCAAAACGACAGTTTCCGTAATCTTAGCTAAGCGACCTCTCCACAGAAACATTCCTCTGATGTTCGTGGTGCCATCATCTGATTCGAGCAACACACGACTGACCCGACTTGATGCATTTGTTCCTAAAGTACTGCAATTTACTTACGTATTAAACATTCGAAAAAAACTTCATCCAATAAATTAATACGATCTATATACTTCGACGCTAATAAAAAAATACATTCTCAGAAAACACTCCGCGAATTAAATAAAGTCTGGCTTACATGACTTACGATCACAGAAAATGAGAATATGAAAAATCCTAAAAATTGAATTGGCCTATAATTAGTTCAAATTAACAAATTAGTTAAAAAGTTACAATATTATGAACTAAATTCAATAAGATCTTACATGGTACCCAAAGTTCCTAATGTGTGCTCACTCATGATAAAAGAGAAATATTTCTGTTTGTAAATCTCTAGTATGTTTGAAGTTAAATGATCAAAGTACGACAAAACGTGACCACGCTGATTTCATCTAATTGGTTTCCTCATTATAGCATTAGTATATGGATAATGATTACGCAATAACTCATTGGTTTTTTTTTTATTATAATTCCTTTCTAAACTTTTTTATTAAAGTATTAAACCTAAACGAATGATTAGAAGAGGTTGATTACGGCTTTATATCTCGTTTTGACCTTTCAGCAACCGGTTCAAATGAAATGCCATATTTTTGTGTGGATATTGAAATTTTACTGCGTACCGCCTCAACGCTTTCTCGGTCGTAAAGCAGCGTAGCAGGACGCGCCCTGAGTGGCGATAAAACGAAGCGAAAGTGCGAAACTCTTCAATGATGGATTTCACATAAAACGATATACGTATTAGGACGTAACCGATACAGATGTATCTGAAGTAGACCGGCCATTTCGTCAACGGCTTATACGCATTGGATGATTGAAGAAATATCTCGATGTACCCTGTTTTTTTTTTTTTAAATCGCTAACACATAAATTCATCTAAATAATTATAAGTTAAGCTGGTCTAATGGGTATATGATTTTTTTACAGTCAATACAATGCATTACAAAATATCCGATAAAGAGTTATCGCTGACCAATTTGAAAATGATCGAAAAATACACAACACTAAAGGACGCATTGTGTAATAAAAGTCAAACCCGGAAAATTATAATTTGCACGTAATTACTAGTTGTAGGACGTCTTTTGTGTCCGCACGAGTGGGTAGGTACCACCGCCCTAGTTATTTCTGCCGTAAAGCAGGAATGCGTTTCGGTTTGAAGGGCTGGGGCACCGTTGTGGTATTTATTACAACTGAGACCTTAGAACTCTTGTCTCAAGAAGAGCGGCAGCATTTACGTTGTATCTGTCTGAGCACGTCCACCCATCTAAGTAATAAAAAAAACCACATCATCCAGTAATAATATGTACAATGGAGCGAGCGTCGACATGCAATATGTAAATACACATCACAACCGTACCAAAGAAAAATAATTCATATTCACGAGCTGCGGACGGGATATGGGCAGCCATCCATTTTGCACGGTTATTTCGGCGAAATCCCCACGTATACTGCTCTCATGTAATTAAGAGATTAAAAGATCAGTTGTACGCCGGCGAGAACTCGACGAGATTTTTATGAAAACATTTTCCGTCGCATCCAATAGCACACATTAGGCATCCTACAAAAACCTTTCGAGCCTTTCTTATTTCCTCAACGAGCATGTTTTATATTACATTTTACTCCTCTTTCATCACAATTTTAATGGAGTCTGAAAGGTTTCATGAAAGTAATGTATTACATTTTAAAGCTATGAATATTAATATGAAAAGATACGTTTTATTAATGTATTTTTTGTATGTTTATAGCAGTGACTTGGCTGTACCCCTAGCATTGTTGATGTCGATATTCAATGGTAACCACTCACCTCCAAGTGGATCGGATGCTGATCTGCCTAAAATAATAATTGAAAAAATTCTGATTTTTTTTTATTGCTTAGATGAGTGGACGAGCTCACAGCCCACCTGGTGTTAAGTGCTAACTGGAGCCTATAGACATCCACAACGTAAATGCGCCGCCCACCTTGAGATATAAGTTCTAAGGTCTCAGGTATAGTTACAACGGCTGCCCCACCTTTCAAACCGAAACGCATTACGGCAGAAATAGGCAGGGTGGTGGTACCCACCCGCGCGGACTCACAAGAGGTCCTACCACCAGTAAGAAATGTGGTGATAAAAATGTAGTAAATGATAGTAATAAGCCTGTCGGCAATCATGAAAACGAAGTACATAAGTTATGAAAACAACGTACGTACATTGTATGTATGATGTGTAATTTTGAAATATTCCTACTTCAGTTTCATTTTGCATTCGACGAGCTCGTGTAACTACAAAGTACAGAACACTAACGCGAACGGATCACAAAGAAAAAGTTTATTAAGGGGAACAACACCAATTTCACATTGTAAAGACCACGTATCTATATGTAGGCAGCCTCTATTCTGCTATAGTTACCGAACACAGACCGCTGTGTTGTTTCGGAAGCAAGTGGGATGTTTATTTTTAACGAAAAAGTCTAGATCAGTGTGCTTGACGTTTGCCTACGTTTGCCGCTGGGCGCTCTTTCAACTGCATACAAATTTGAGTTAACTTTTACTCTATCGAGAACGTTAAAAATCTGGCACTAAGCACACAGTACTCCTTCCTTCCAATATAAATAAATACAGTTGCCATGTCTTTCTGAATATACTTTAAGGAGTTAGCACCAAGGCTTTTTTGGAACCTGCAGCAGTGCTTGAAAACTATGCAAACAGACCCATGTAGTAATATCCACTTTAACAAGACTTGTCTCTTTGAATAACGTAAATGGATTTACGGGCTTGGCGAATTTAAGTGCTAAAATTAGAGGACACGTGATTTTTTCAGAGTTGTAATATATTACTAAAATAAAAATGAGCTACTCAAACGGAAAACCCATGTGTATCGCATTTGGCCTGCACGGCAAAATATACAAAAAAACCTAACGTTCCCTTATACACTGAAAAATGTTTCCGAACATAAAGCAGTGGTGTATGAAAGGTGCATGTTGCTAACTTCGTATATTTCGGCAGCTGCTTGCACTTTTTAATTAGAAATGTTTCACGTTTGATGTCTTTGCGACGTATCGCATTGCATTCTAGTCCTTCACACACGTATTATTTTGATGGGTTCATTAGAAATTAAGATTTCTTGTCAAAATTCACTCTTTGTCAACAAATTCCACTGTGTTGATATATACCCAAAATCGGATGGTAAATATAACCTGAAAAAGCGTTGTTAGAAAAATCAAAAAAGCTACAATTTTCGTGGATTATAATAAGTAGGTTACAATACGTAAGTAAGTTTAGAAATATGTGAAATACTCGTAGCTTCGTAAGTGACCTAATTTTGTTATTTATTTTTTCACTACTGCACTTAAATAGTGCATTATTTATCTAACAAAAAAGACTTTCAAATAGTGATTTGCAATGACGGTAGTCTCTAATACACAGAAAACTACTATAATGCAAACGTATTCTAGACTTTTCTATTCTAATTAATTACCTATAACTACCTCAGGACTAAGGCACATAAGGAAACTCTGAGTGAAGTGAATAAAGACAAAACTTTTGAAAATCGTCTCCATTATTTCCTTAGGGTCCTTACACTTTGGCGTCAAGATCGCGTAGGAGATATGGCTTCCAGAAAAAAAACTTCAGGCATTGGGGCGTATGGATGCAAAATGAATTCCATTGATGACCCGACGAAAATGTGTCAAATTTCGCGGAGAATACTTCGAAAAGCAATAAATACATTTTTAAATAGTAATGTTGTGTCACTTCGCTAATTCCCGAAATTTTCTGTGCCGCCCTCGTAGCTTAAGGAAGATAGAAGGTTCTAAGTGATGCAGATCGTCTTGGTCCACTTTGGACTTTAAATATTAATAATTTTAAAATTAATATTAAAAGTACTTTAATAGCGAAAGCTTATTATGTAGTCAGCAAATGTATGAATAACAAAAGCGAATGGTTTTCAATTTGTGCTATTTTTATTATAAACTGACTTAATATTTTTTTATTTACTTATTTTTCATTAGAAATTCTTATCAGTTGTGAAACTCGTTCAAATCGCTAGTAAAGCTCGATAATTTTAGTGTCCCTAATTCTCATTTTAACTAATAGATTAAGAGAAAAAAAGAGTGACTGGGGTATAAAAAACATTTACTCTGGTTTCTATGGATTTCACTTTTGTGTGTTATGAAACTCAATCCGCTTTATCCCTTAACAATAAGTTGGATGATAAAATGTGCTTATTGAACTTATTTATTAATTAAATTACTTTACAATTTCTTTTAAACATATAGCAGCAATAACCAAACGCTAAGTCTCATTTTATAATTGCTTAAATTAGAAACATTCCATTATTCCTTATTTGCCTACAAAAGCCAGAACTAACCACATTAGATTACACTGTGATTTGGTACAACACAACATCTTATATTAATTTTAAAAAATCTATTTAATATAAATGTTCTTCGAACGGAAAATTGAATAGAACTATGACATCATCAAACAAAAATAAATTGCGTTTCGAAATGGACAATAAATTTCCACCCGAGCCGTCAACACTTTGTCGTTGACAAAATTATATCAAATGCAAGAAGTGAAATTGTATCACACAATCAAATTTGTTCCCGACTCTCTATTATATTTCGAAGACACTTGGAGCTGAAACTTTTCATTTATAATGGTAAGTTACGGGAGTTCTGTCTTTCTGATTCGTTAAAACTTCTGTAGATGTGATATTTTGACAATTTAAAATCGTACAAGGAGAAAAGCAAATTATTTCTTAAGAGACAAAGACGACACTAGAAAGTGGCTATTTACATAAAGTCTAATGTGTAAATTCTATTACAGAAACACATTCCAATAGTATTTATTTCCAAAGTGTATGTTCTTATTTGATCTAATTTTTGCTTTATAAAATTCACAAAACAGAGCAGTTTAAAAAAAACACTGGTATTCGACCGCATATCTATCTGCATTTCCCGTAATGCGGTCAGCAATTACGCTTGAATGTATCTCTAAAAGGACCAATTAAAGGTTGGAGACAAAGGCCCCTATACTTGAAACTGGATCTCGTGCAAATGGCCGATCCAATAGAGCGGTTTAACGTTACAGAGGCGACAGGGGACGTCCGTTTCCCGGCTTGGTAGAGGCGCTAACTCAATCACCGCCCGACAGAATTTTTCCCCTCGACAAGTTCCGTCTACAGAGAAACGATAAACCCAGTACGTCGACAGATTTTTAATCTTTAATAAAGTTCCAATAAACTCGTGGGATTTTATAGAAACTCAAACATTACCTAATCAAATTTAATAGAAATTATAAATCCTAATAAGATAAATAACAAAAAGCAAAGACTAAAAATGATGACTTTGAGAGGATAACTATGACCAGTGTTTGTTAAGGTGGTGATCGTTGATGGTGGGGTGGAAGAGGCACTTTAAGTGATTCGTATCTTTTTAATTCATTATTGTATATTTGTTATATTTTTACACTAACCTAATACAATTATCAACAATGAAGAGCATCCTCAAATATTCCGTAACCTAACCAAGTTGTACCAAGTCAAGAAAACACAATAAAGATGATTAATGGTCAATTTAAGCAATCCGTACAATACCTTCGTTGTAGCTTCTCCGAGAAGCCAGTCTTACGAGTATAAATTCATAATAAAACTGTAACAAGAGTGTAGTCTAACTGTAGTCTGACTGTAGTCGTAACTTATAATTCAAAATAACAGTATTATTTATCCTAGCGAGGTAATCGTTCCAAAAAGAAGAACCATTGTCAAGTTTCATTGGAATAACTGATACAACGCCCTCAGAC